CAATATATGATTTTTTAACTACTTATTTGTATGATGCAGCTGCAAATAAGTATTTGAACACCTGGGAAAATCAATCTTAATATTTGGTACAGTAGCCTTTGTTTGCAATTACAGAGGTCAAACGTTTCCTGCAGTTTTTCACCAGGTTTGCACACACTGCAGGTGGAATTTTGGCCCACTCCTCCATATAGATCTTCTCTAGATCAGTCAGGTTTCTGGGCTGTTGCTGAGAAACACAGAGTTTGAGCTCCCTCCAAAGATTCTCTATTGGATTTAGGTCTGGAGACTGGCTAGGCCATAGCAGAACCTTGATATGCTTTTTACAGAGCCAATGCTTTCATCGCTTGTACCGTATTTTCACGACTATAAGGCGCACTTAAACGTCTTTTTTTTTCCTCAAAATGTGCGGTGCGCCCTATGGTGCGGTGCGCCCTATGTGTGTTGTAACTGCGACTTTTGAGACCACCTCATTGAGGAGATGATGAAAGAGTGGCTGAATATAAGGAGACCAGGTGTTTTTTTTCCACCCCTCACCATCGCTGTTAATATGTAACTCCATGCGTGCCCATCTCACAGCTGATGTGAAAAACATGGGGAAACAAATTAACGCTGTGCTCGCTGTTCAACCGCTCGACATCGGTGTGAACCGGACCCAGCAGGTGCAGCAGAAGCAGCGAGTTTACATGCAAAGTCAATGGTTGACGCGCATATAGGTGCAGTAAAAGGTCCTGCAGCGCATTTTGGTGCAGCACGTCGGGAGCGTTTAAGCATCTGACGCACCGCCAACGCGCTGCTGCTGCTCAGATGGAAAAATTGAAGTTTTGCTGCTGGACGCGCCGCATCAACCAATCAGAGAAGCTGATCTGGGAGCTGACAGCGAGACACAGCGCTCTGATGATATTAACGCAAATGAAAAGGCTGGATGAATGAGGAGATGATGAAAGGCAGGTGTATGTGAGGAGACCAGGTGGTTTTTTCCACGCATCACCATCGCTGCGTGCCCATTTCACAGCCGATGTGAAAAAAAAGATGAATCAAATGAATGCTGTGCTCGCCGTTATCCCGGGGGGTCTGACAAAGGAACTTCCACCGCTCGACATCGGTGTGACGCGCCAGTTCAAAGTAAGGCTGCGAGCGGCGTGGGAGCGATGGATGACAGATGGAGACCACAGTTTCATGATAAATGGAAGGCAGCGCCGGGCAAGTTACGCCACCGTTTGCGGATGGATTGTAGATGGACTGTGTCTGCTGGCTCTGTTGTTCAAGCTTTCGCAAAAGCCAGCATTATTTCTGAGGAGCTGCGCTGCACGGAAAGTGACTCTGACAGCGCAGAAGGGGAAACTGGCATGTCTGATTTAGCGCAGCTGTTTTATTCAGAGGAATGCTGAGGATAACAGAGGATGATGACTTTGATGGGTTTAAGGCGAATGAAAAAGGCTGGATGGACGAGGGGATGATGAAAGCTTGGCTGAGGGAGGTGTATGTAAGGAGACCAGGTGGTTTTTTCCACGCATCTCCATCTCTGTTAATTTGTGATTCCATGCGTGCCCATCTCACAGCCGATGTGAAAAAAAAGGTCAAAGAAATGAACGCTGTGCTTGCTGTTATTCCGGGAGGTCTGACAAAGGAGCTTCCACCGCTCGACATCGGTGTGAACCGCCCGTTCAAAGTAAGGCTGCGAGCGGCGTGGGAGCGATGGATGACAGACGGAGACCACAGTTTCACTAAAAGTGGAAGGCAGCGGCGGGCAAGTTACGCCACCGTTTGCGGATGGATTGTAGATGCTTGGACTAACGTTTCTGCTGGGACTGTTGTTCGAGCTTTTGCAAAAGCCGGCATCATTTCCAAGGAGCCGCCCGGCACGGAAAGTGACTCTGACAGCAAAGAAGAAGGGGAAACTGGCATATCGGATTTAGCGCAGCTGTTTAATTCCGAAACAGAGGATGAGGACTTTGATGGGTTTGATTAATACTTTGTAATAAATACTTGAATAAAGCACAATCATACTCAGTTTTGCTCCCGCTCTATTTTTCTACCTAAAAAACTTAATTCAACAGCCGCCTCTGGGCCGCAGCGCATCCGGACTCACCTCCGCAGGTGTTTTTTCATCTAAATAATCTAAATCTTTTTGAGTGAGAAAGCCCACCGGAAAATTTAATCATTACAGTCAGTTCATTCAGATTAGCCTATTATCCTGCCTATGTATTAAGTTAATTTATGCGTGAATAAACGAAGAAGAAGGGGAAACTGGCATGTCTGATAGCGCAGCTGTTTAATTCAGAAACAGAGGATGAGGACTTTGAGGGGTTTGATTAATACTCTGTAATAAATACATGAATAAAGCACAATTATACTCAGTTTTGCTCCCGCTCTATTTTTCTACCTGAAAACTTAATTCAACAGCAGGCTCTGGGCCGCGGCGCATCCGGACTCACCTCAGCAGGTGTTTTTTCATCTAAATAATTTAAATCTTTTTAAGTGAGAAAGTCCACCTGAAAATTTAATCATTGCAGTCAGTTCATCCAGATTATTATCCTGCCTATTTTTTAAGTTAATTTATGCGTCAATAAACTGTATCAGAGGAGTAATCACAGCCCTGTGTCATCAGCGATGTGTCTCTCACGGCAGGTTCCCAGGTTTTAATAATACTTTGTAATAAATACACCTTGCAGCTTTATTTGCTGTGATCAGTGAGAATAAAGTAGTTTTAATATGTTTTTAAGTGAGAAAATCCACCTGAGAGGACATGTACCTGTATATAAAAAACGCGCCCTATAGTCCGGTGCACCTTATGTGTGTGTTAAATACAGAAATGGGACACATAACTGAGAGTGCGCCTTTTAGTCCGGTGCGCCTTATGGTCGTGAAAATACGGTATGTGTCCACACCATAACAGTTGTGCAAGATAAACCAAATTACAAAATAAATAATTAAATAGTAAAATTAAAAAATAGAAATATTACTACTGTTGGGCTCCAGCCCCCACAGGGATATACTCTGGTATCTGCCCTTCAAGAGGGGGCACCCTTAATTGATTATGGGTCCATGTCAGGAGAAAGAGAAAATACAGCTCTATAGTTTGGGGTGGATAACTGAAAATGCAACCAGAGATGCTGGAATTAGTCATTGTGAGTCCAATTTTTCCCAATTCCTGACTATTTAGTGGTATATACTGACATTTAAAAATTGAGAATGACAGGGTTGGTTTTGTTATTTAATATCTCAGCATTAAAGTTACCGTAGTAAGCGGACAACTTACAACTGCTGGCACTGCCCATTGTCTATAAGTTATAACAATATACTGAGTAGAAAAAACACAGTTAACATTTTACATTCTTCTGATTCTAGTAGTGCATTATTCAGTGTAAATATATGTTATAAGAGCTTGCACAGGGAGTGAAGAGAATGAGAGCAGAATACTAGAAAAACAGGTGATGTTCCTATGGGTACTGGTCCATATCAGAGTAGATGGCAATAAGTTTGCTGACAGATTTGTGAAGTAGGATGCAATGAAAGAAATAATAGATTTCCTTCTTAAGTATGAAAGCATGATCAAAATGATATTAAGATATAATTAAAATGGAATAATGGGATGATGGGTTGTTTCTATTATTTGATCTATGGAAATACAGCTAAGGCAGCTGTGATGAGGTGAGACTAGAGAGGAGGAGGTAATTTAACGTGTGAAACTGGAACACACAAGGCTTAACATTACACTGAAAATGATTGGAAAACACTTTTTCTTGGGGAGGATGAACCTGTAGAACACATGATTATACACTGCATAGGGTATGTGCTAGAGAAGGACATATTTAGAACACATTTAAAAAGAAAACTAAATCCAATTTATCTTCAGGTTGATAATGCACAGAGGCTCTCTGTCGGTTACATGTTAAGCAGTTTTGAGGTTCTGGAAATTACTGGACTGATTCTGTTTCTGAGAATTTAGTTGGGATTTTACTGTGTGTTCTGCCATACCAGAAGGTGCCAATAATGCACTGACAAGTTATTTGCCAACTGCCAATGAACTACACAAGAAGGTTGCAGGACGGTGATTCGGATGTGCATGGCGCGTGTTTCTAAGTCGCTTGTGGAGAAATGTCTTGGGTCCTGATTAGTGAGGAAACAAGAATCGATTCTTGTGGGATGGAAAAGGAAATAGTGAAAACAAAGAAGATTGGAAGACAGTAGAGTCAAAAAATGAGAAAAAGCGGAAAAAGCAGAGATCAATTAAAGGGAAGTCCATGGAGGAGTGCCTCTAAAAGTAACTGACAAAGAGATTCTAGAAAATATAAGTGGTGTAAAACTAAAAGAAGTAAAACGGTTAAAAACAACAAGAAATGGAGAAAGAAAGATGTGACAGCTTATCAGAATTGATCCAATTTGAAGAAAAGCAGTTACCGAGTAAAGTTTTGCCTTGGATATATGAGCTACAATGTAAAAATGTACAATACATACATATATAAATATATATATATATATTTACAACAAACCACACAAAATACTAAAAATATATACACATATAAGTCTCTCTTTCAAAAAACTATAAAATATATATATATATGTAGATATATGCATACGTATAACTATAAATCCAAATAAAGTGATAGTGACGCTGTGCAAACACAGTGTAAGGAATGAATAAATTGTCAATTACAGAGGGGGGGGGGGTATGAATCACTTGAGTGAGGCGTTATATAGAGATTAATGACCACAGGCTGGAATGATTTCCTGTGGCGCTCTGTGGTACATCTGGGTAAAAGGAGTTTTCTGCTGAAGGCGCTTGTCTGCTGGAGTGTATAAGCATATATTATGTTGGGTTAGTTAAACAGTTCGAAAAAATATATAATTTTTGTTATTTTTTATTTTTTTCTGGGGGTCAGTTGGTGGCGGTAATGTACTTTTAACTAGTTTGACAACCGCCATGAAACCTTACAAGAAGAAGAAGATCTACACTTACGTTTGACCCTTCCCAGCTCCCGTTCCTATGGTCGTACCGCGCACGCGCAGACGCATAGCGTACCTCATTCCCCGCTTCTCCTTCTCCTCGCAGGTCCTCACAGCTCAACGCTAACATTTAGAAGCGAGCTGCTTGGCTTGGCCGCTCTGCCAGGCCTGTTCCTTTACTGGACAATTATTCTCCCTGCTTTTATTGTGTACGAGGATTACAGAATATCAGCATCAATCCCCGTGAGTATTAGCATATTAGCAAAAGCTTATTGTTTGAATGGAAGATGGCCCCCCTTCGTGGATTTTGCTTGTCAACAGCGCTGCGCGATCAGGCCACAGTTAGCATTTTTAAAAGCATTTTTATTTTCATTTTCCTTAATACGTTTAGTAAAATCCACACTGTTTGAATAAGCAAGAGTCGTGTTTGGAATCACGTCACTATGCCCAGCTAGTGTTTCAATATCTCAGAGAAATGAAGCTAGACGACCCCGTCTTGTTCTTTGTTTAATGTTGCTTTTCCACGTTTATTTTATTTCAGAGTGGATTTATAAGTGATTTTTGGGTTGAGACCAAACTGAAATATATCAAGCTGGATTTTAAACTATCAAAACAACTGCATTTACCCGAAAACTAAAACGTTAATTCGAGCTAGCAGCAAAAGCTAACTAGCTTAACGGTTTAAGCTACTACAGGTATTTATTAAGTCATCTATGTTAATGACCACAGTATGAACGTGTTATGCGAGAAAAAATTACTTGCGCATTAAAATGAACATTTTCTGCAGTATATGCAGCTAACATGGAATACATTTGTGCTTAGAAAACTGTTTAGATCAGCTAACTGGCTTTAATTTGCAGCATGACTGTTTGCTCTGCGAAGGCCTGTAATGTTTTTATATTTATTTCTTTAGGCCCGTCAAGGTCTAGATTTTGATCATGCAAATGTATCTTTTAAAAGGGTGTAAATGATTCTCAACAATGTCGAGATGACGTTTATTGTCGATAAATTAACACAGAGGCAGCATTGTAAAAGGCATCTGCAAAACAAATGTGTTTATTTATCTCCCATAATTTATACCAAAACCTCTGAAAAGTTAAATCCAAATAGAAAAAGGTAAATTTGATTTTGTTGTTTTTTCATGTCTCTTATAATTAACAATCTCTAATAAAGGTTTTATCTTTTTATGTAGTTTTCAAAAAAATACACGTGATTAACTTGGAATCAGTCTTTATTTAGCCTAAAAGTTATGCTTTTATTTTATTTTGTGTCCATAACTACTTTGGATTTTAGTTATAACAGACTGGATTGTCTGAGTGATGGAAGAAAAGACGCCACATAATGAAACATGGGTTAATTTTTATCAAAATAAACACAGAAATAACCTATAGGGATCTTGCAATGTTTTCCCTAATGTGTCACAGGTCCAGGTTTACTCCTATGAATTGGAATCATGTCCAAGTTTATTATACAGGCACATTCTTATCACTAACCCTCTGGTATCTATCTATCTGCAAGTTAAACTTAACTTTTTTGAAATTCTGATCAAAATGGTAGTTTTGTTCCATATTACCGGCTAAAGAAATCCGTTAATGATATATACCACTTTATATAATCATGGGGTTGCCTTCCTGAGAAAGCACTGGGCGATGAACGACTGAGAGGAATGACTCTTTTATAAAAGTAAGACACTTTGAGCAGTACCAGGATGGGTCGCCATCTGCCTGGACCTGCTGGAGGGATGAGAAAACAGCCAACTAATGCAGTTAGAGGGGAATAGCAGCCAAAGAAAGAACGGCTCCGGTTCAGTTTTTTTTCCTGCTGCTAGCTGAGTATTTTAATGTGATTTATTAGGTTATATTTCTTCTTATGTTTTTAAATTGTAGAAGGATTTACTTGTCAAGAAATGCCAAAATAGCAGTGGCTGTGTCTGAGCGCCTGTTCTTAACCATATAGTGTATTACTTAAGAATATAATATAAGTTTGCTAAATTTATTGGGCTTAATTTTTAAACGCCAGACACCTCTGAATTCAGATTTTGTAGCCGAAATCATAGGGCCCTATAAAATCCGTTTTTTTTCCCCCCAAATTCTTTTTTATTTTTTCCCAAATTCCGTTTTTTCCTTTTTAATTTTCGCGAATTCAGTTTTTTTTTTACCCTTTACTGTTATTCAGTCGTAAAAAGCATGTGCTTTTAATGTTAATGATTAAAATGTACACAAATAAAATAGGAATGACCTTAAATTTATTGAGGTAAAAGAACAGATTTACTCAGTACTTTTACTGCATGATGCAACATAACACTGCACTCTAAGTACTAACAAAATATTAAAGCTACAGTGTGTAATAATTACAGGGATATAAAGTCAGAAATGTAATATATTATACATAACTATGTTATTTATCATCATCTACGAGCTCAGCCTCTTAGCCTTAATATTTGCGTTGCCTTAGAATTCGTTATTTATAATTACATAGGAGCGGGTCTCGCGGCCATGGAGGCAGACATCTTTGCGCTACGGCAACGCAGAGCCAACAAACTAGCGATTGCCCATTACGCTCGAAAGTAACTAAGGCAAGTTGAGAGAGATGAACTGAGACGGTACTGAACAATAGATGGCAGTATTATGCCTGAGATACTATCTGTAAAATTATCTATGTAAACAAACCTCATTACTTGAGAAGGTAGGTGATGCAGACGTCGTGGAAGACATTTTGTCCCGTAACGCTCGCCGTACTGTTGGGGGGTGAGAAGCGGTGGGGGGGAGATGTTCATGTTGCTGCGGTCTGCAGTCTGGACGTTAGATGTCGCTAAAAATTACACATTGTAGCTTTAATGGTTATGAACCAATGGTTATAAATAAAAGTGCTCATTTAGCTTTTTCAAGTAAAAAAATAAAATAGGACCTCTCGATTTCAGAATTATAAAGTATATCATAAAGAATCATATTTTCGATACAGTACATTAAAGTGCATAAAAAACAAGGCAAAATACAGCAAGTATGTAAGCATGTGTTTCTGAACTTTTTCGCCGAAAGCGGAGCTGTGGAGAGCCGCTTCGCCATTTTTTCAATGTTTTGATGGGGGAGGGTGAGCAGAAATGACAGAGCGGGAGGGGTTGTGTCGCCCAGATTTGCGTCCCCCGGTGTGCATTTCCTCCCGACGTACGTTCTTCTCCCACATTAAAACAGAATTTCATGTCAAATGTAGAGATTTCTGCCTTAATTTGCCAATTCCGCGATTCCTTCCGTGATCGCGGAAATTATAGGGCCCTAAAATCACATGTAAATGTTACAAATCCAGTCCAAGTCCAAACACATAATTTGAAAGGAAGATTTAAGCCCTTTTGTGTAATTATAAAAAGCCTTGTAAATCCCCATCTAAACAGTAAAAGTTTTGTTTTTCAGTGTCTACTAATTGTCGGAACAATTGACTACAGCTGAGAGAGGGAGAAATATTTAAAAACTTAATATCACAATAAATTCTGAAGATTTTCTTTCATTTCCAGTGTGTGCTTTTTTTTCTGGTAACCTTTTATAATGTAAGACTGTTTGTTCCAGGTTAGTGTGCAATCAATGTTAGTGCTCCCACCATGGCAACAGAGGACAAGAAACCAGAGACTGACACTAAGCCTCCAGTCGTCCCATCAGCTTCAGCCAGCCAAAGCAAGGTCTGACTCATTAAAATATCCACATCATTTCCTATTGGTCTCCTACTGCAGACTATTTTAAACATTGATGTGTTTGTGCTGCTCTGTTTTTGCTGCTGCTCTTCAGTCTGCACCTGCAAAGCCAAACTACAGCCTGAAATTCACATTAGCAGGACACACTAAGGCCGTGTCCTCCGTCAAGTTCAGCCCAAGCGGAGAATGGCTGGCCAGCTCATGTGAGTTCCATTATTTTACGTTTTTCTTCATCTTATGTTACAAATGATGAAATAACCCTTTAATGCAGTCCTGCTGTGCTTCAACACAGATTCCAAACTTTTCCGTCTTTGACAGCACACGTTTTAAAGGCTGCGGTGTTCTCGTTCTGTAACCTTGTCGTTCCTCCACAGAATAGCAAACATTTAAAAAATAGACTCATACGCATATATAGGGTTTTAGTTAAAATGACTACCTAGAAAATATCCTGAAATCCTGATAACCACTTTCAGTTTATCAGACAAAGCTGCATCATGAAAGCAGACGGCTTTATGAAGCCTACTCCCTGTCGGTTTCATAAATCGTAGCATTTCGATATGATGAAATCCCACATCAGCCTTTTTATTTCTGCCCACAGAGCACATATTTGCCTGTGTATTTTCTAGGATGCAAAGATAATGTAATGCTGTGCAGGCTAATAATTGTAGTGGAACTATAAGAAAGGAAGATAAAATGATGCAATTCTTTATAAATGACACACATTTGATGGAAACTGGTGTTCACTAGTGTTATTGGAAACTAAACTAATAGTGATGTAAATCTAGTGTTAGTAATAATGATTAATATTCTTGCTTTTTAAATAAGTTTTCCTGGGTGGTCAATGACTTGTAAGTGTTCTGTGTGAACTGCATTCATACGACTTGGGTGTCCCACGTGTGCAGTAGATGACGCAATGACGTCTCAAGCAAGCATGCTCTGTGTTTACGGAAGTAAATATGGATGGTATATCTGGAGCACATCTGGTGATCTTTCCCAACCTCAGCCAGTGCATTAACAACTAGGGATGCACGATATCGGGATTTTGGCCGATATGCCGATATTTTAAAACTCATGTGGCCGATAACCGATACCGATGTTAAAGCTGGACAAAAATAAGTAGTTATTGAAAATAGCAGTTTTGTTATCCATTTCTGACACTTTGAAAAATAATATACTCAAATATATTTTCATATGCTGATATCAAATTGAGTTTTAAAAACGCGGTATCGATCTATTTTACTTTCAAAATCTCGTGAAATTTCATCGTTCTGTTACAAACTCGTGATATTTTGCAAATTCTTGTGAGATTTTGTTAGTAAAATAGATTGATAGCGCGTCAGTATATCAACATAAAAATATGGCAAATTTTCAGGGGATTTTGTAGCATAACGATGACATATAGCAATATTTCATTAGTAAAAGAGATTGATATGGTGTTTGTTTTTTTTTTTAGACTTTAGAAACTCAGAAGCTGATCAAATATCGGGTTAAATATCGGTGGGGTGGCCGATGTCCGATATTCAGTTTTAAGGCCGATACAGGCCGATAACGATAGGGGGCTGATTATATCGTGCATCCCTATTAACAACACAATCTCTTCAAGATGTTGATAATAAAGACTGCTCTACGCATTAACGTCAGCCATGGTTGTTGTTTTTCTTGCCCCTACTGCGTAGCAAGATGCGAAATGGTGACCTTTGTCGAGTATTAATGCCGTACAGGTCAGATGAATATAACATGATCGTTCAGACACGAGTCGCATCAGAAAAGATCAGATATGTATTGGATTCAGGACCACATAGTCAGGTGGTCCGGGTCGCATTAGAAACCATTAGATCTGTGTTGTTCATACTGCCAAGAAAAGATCAGATTTAGGTCACTTCAGGCTGCTTTGTGAACGTAGCCTAATTTTCCAATCTGTGTAAATTATTTTGGAAAAATATTTTTATTCCTCCAGTTAAAAAATAAATAATTTTATATGATTTACAGGTTTGCTATTTTCCTTGGCAACTTAACTAATACTGGTCTTGATTTGTCTTTTTTTTGTTTTGTTTTCTAGCTGCTGATAAACTCATAAAAATTTGGGGAGCCTATGATGGCAAGTTTGAGAAAACTATATCTGGACACAAGCTGGTGAGTAGAACTTCAGTTCCTGAAGGAATTACACCCAAAGCTTCGTTACTGACTTTTTTTCCCTCCCTTCTTAACCTTCAGGGCATTTCTGACGTTGCTTGGTCCTCTGACTCCAACCTCCTGGTTTCGGCCTCTGATGACAAAACCCTGAAAATCTGGGATGTCAACTCGGTAAGAACGCCTAAATCAGGTGGAAGACGACTTCTGTGATTGACAGATGTGACACTTTGAGTATTTTATCTCAAATCTAGGGAAAGTGCTTAAAAACCCTGAAAGGCCACAGCAACTATGTGTTCTGCTGCAACTTCAACCCCCAGTCCAACCTCATCGTGTCTGGATCGGTGAGAAATGCCGAGCAGATCCAGGACTCCAGTCAAATGTTCACTAGCAGCAAACTTTTAAATAATCAATTTGTTTTGCTTTTTTTTTTGGCTTCTAGTTTGATGAGAGTGTGAGGATATGGGACGTGAAGACTGGGAAGTGTTTGAAAACACTGCCGGCTCACTCTGACCCTGTGTCCGCAGTAAGTTTGCTTCTTTCACAGTCAATGAGTATTCTGTTAGTTGACGGATAAAGGAGAACCTGAACTCTGAAATGTGTCTGAATCTGCAGGTTCATTTCAACAGAGACGGCTCTCTGATTGTGTCCAGTAGCTACGACGGCCTCTGGTGAGTCCATGAAGCTGTGCTGCTTCTCTCATTTTAAAATCGTTTGTTAGTCTTGTTGATCTCCTTATGAATCATGATTTGAATTTTTGATTGCAGCCGAATCTGGGACACAGCGTCGGGCCAGTGTTTAAAAACTCTCATTGGTAAGAGCAGCTACCTCTCAGTTAACTTGATAAAATCAAAAAGTCACGTTCAACATTTAAATTCTTGTATTCAAAAAGCAAAACTCCTCTGGATTTATTTTATAGTGGTTTTATTTCAAACGCTTATTTCTGTTATAATATGATGGGTTCCTACAGCTGATAAAAAAAATGGGGGGAAAAATCAGAAGAATGATAAAATAATTTCTAGTCCTTCCCTAAAAAAATGTCAAAATTATTCTGAAGGTTGTTAACAATACTAAGCACTAGGGCAGCAACAACGAATCGATAAAATCGATAAAAATCGACTTTTAAAAGCGTTGGCAACGAATTTCATCATCGATTAGTTGTGTCGCGCGATTAATGCGTCATCCGCCGCCGTCCTCACATCCACTTGACTGAAGCGGGGGAAGAAATAAAAATACGGCAGAGCGAGTCAGCGCCGCAGGTGCAGTGTTGCCAACTCAGCGACTTTTCAGACCCCTCCAGCGACTATTTTTCAAAAAAGCGACTAGCGACAAATCTGGCGACTTTTTACGGTGTCACTGGCGGCTTTTGGACACTCTTACGTGAAAGTATGTATCGTTCCTACTCTGCCGTGGGGCGCCTCCCCCATCCCAACCCTGTTCTCCCGCAGGAGTCCCTCTCAGCGCTGCAGTCAGAGCCGCAGGATGTTTACCCTCAGCGTCCAGACTGCAAATGAAGCGCGCATGCGCCGGGATTGACGGTGCAAATTGATCACAATAATTAAAATAGCCTGCGCTTTGTAAAGGGAAAAAAGTCGTAACATGCAACTTTTGTCAAAACAAATTAACATGGCACGGAACCACCATGTTTGTTTGGTTTTAAAGTGGGGAAACGTAACGTTAGTTTCTCAGGTAGCTCATCTGATGCTTTCCTTACCTTGTTAGTAGGTTACAGACAGTGATAAGGTTGGCTACTTATTTTACTTTTAATTTCATTTGAATTAGCTTAAGCAGCGTTTATATTTACTTTAAACTTTAAAAGCCTTGCCCTCATAATTTGCAAGTTAATTTATTTATAAATCTTCTGGCAAAAAAAAAGTAAAGATCCTGCAATTTATGGAAGTAAAGCAGAATAAAATCCAGCAAGATCAGTAATATGTCAATTAATTATATGCCACATTCCCATGTAAATATCTGTCTTTGGAGGATGTGTTTTTTACCACCCCTAGTTCTCTCATTTTTATTCCAAATACAATTTATAATTTAAATCACAGGGCTATTTTTATCTCTATGGTTCAGTATTTTCTCAAGTAGCAACTTTAACTGCTATACTTTCCTGTCTTAAAAGGCAGAACTCTTCTAGTCAAAAAAAAACTCATTTGTTGAAATGGGGGGGCTATTGTTTGAACCCCTTAGGTGCTTTTAAAAACAAAAATGTCTTTTTTTGCGCTTTATGAAACAAAGTACCCTACATTTTGTGGATGTACAGCTACATTTCTCATGTAAGTTTGTGTAGTTTTAACACAAACATTTATTTTTCAATTTGCACCAGGACAGTTAATGAGCAACCTGTACTTGTGTGCTTGTTTGTTCTGTCTAAAATGTTTATTTTGGAATAAAGAGGTTAATATAAAAAATATTTTTTGTCCGATTAATCGAAAAAATAATCGGCCGATTCATCGATTTTTAAAATAATCGTTAGTTGCAGCCCTACTAAGCACTAGGAAGGTAAGGGAACAAAGCTTTTTTGTTGCTAAGGAGGGCTGTATCCAGGCAATGCAATAGAAAGTTAGGTGGAAGGAAAAAGCGTTTTGGAATAAAGTGAACGAGCATCAGGGGTTTCAGATGTCGAAGGTTTGTGAAACACTTCCTTTAAGCGTTACATTTAAGTGGTGAAGATTAACAGATGTCCTGGACATTGGCTCCCTATTTAATTATCTGTAAACCATAAGCAGCCGACCAGAAGTATAACACATTTTCTTATAAAAATATCTGCAAGTTTCACGTTAAGTTGAAATGAATGAACCTCTGAGTTTTCATTTACAGAGATTTGTCAGCTGATCTGTCTATAATATCATTCCTAACATTGTTAGTTTAATGGCCACCAATAAATCCAACCGCAGTTTTCTATAATAAGCTTCATAGATGTGGTCAATGTATAATGAAATGCATCTCTGTTCTGATATTTCCCCTGGCTTGTTGCTAACTTGGCTTCTGCTTTCAACAGATGATGACAACCCGCCAGTGTCGTTTGTGAAGTTTTCTCCCAATGGGAAATACATCCTGGCTGCCACTCTGGATAAGTGAGTGTTTCACATTTTCAGCACTGTCGGATCGTCGTTATAAGATGTTGATTACCCGTGTTGTTCATGATGCTCACCTGTAGAGGGCAGTACTACACCAGGATTACTCTGGATTTTTGTTTTATACAATCTGTAATCTAAAGTATGGTTCATCTTTCCAGCACACTGAAGCTGTGGGACTACAGCAAAGGAAAGGTGAGGAAAACATTCTGATTGAAAATGTTAAGAAATTGATTTTATACTAGGAGAAAGCTCTAAATCCACTTTTATTTACCTACAAGAAGCACAATCTGTTTTTTTTCTTATTCTGAGCTCTCATAAGATCATTGAATATAGAACTGCACCAAACTAATTGAAAGTTAAATCTCTGCTCCCTGCTTATTTTTGTTTAGATAATGTTTAACTCTGAGTTGTTTATCATATTTTCAGTGCTTAAAGACATACACGGGCCATAAGAATGAGAAATACTGCATTTTTGCTAATTTCTCTGTGACTGGTGGGAAGGTAAGCTCTGTTACTGTTTTATTGTAACCTTTTTTATTCCTAATTGTTCCAGTTGCAGAGTCTAAACTTTGTAGATGTGATTTATGTGACTGTTGGACTGCTGCTCTCTTCCAGTGGATTGTGTCAGGCTCTGAGGACAACATGGTTTACATCTGGAACCTGCAGACAAAGGAGATTGTGCAGAAACTCCAGGGCCACACAGGTACAGCAGACAGTTTGGGCAACTGTTTGATCGCCTGCTGATTCTGTGAAAATTTCTAGAAAGTAAATTAAGCCACTTTAAAATCCTATGAATGGAAAAACAACCTAAAAGTTTCAAATAAAGTTATTAAAGTGAAAATATATTTTATTAGGTGGTTGTAGAGGGGAAAAAAGTATAATGCCAAACTGTCTTTTAACTATTAGTACCGGATATCAGATCAAAATTACCCGAAAATACTAATATCTGATTATATTTGTTTGCATCTATAGTCTCTGATAATGGTATGCTGATAGAATCACCCATTTAATATTACATGGGCCAGCTGTTCGCATACCTTTTGTTGCTGCATATTGTTCTCAGTTTAATAGCACTTGCTCAAGCTTTTTTTTCCACATGCTACAGCAAAAAATAGGTAATAAAATCCTGTATAACTCAACTTGATATAGTATCTGGTAGGCCTGAGTGATAAACCCGATTTTTACTGCTACGGTCATTCACTACGATAACCGGTGACAATTGTGCTGTCTGTAAAAGAAATAAATTAAATTTTGCAGTTTTTCCTTGGTGCAAGGGTAGCTGGTATTTCCAGTCTCTTTAACAGGGTTCCTGCGGGTCCTTAAAAAGTCTTAAAAGGCATTGAATTCTTAAAAATAAAACTAAGGCCTTATTGGTATTAAAATGTCTTAAATCAGTCTTTCGTAGGTCTTAATTTTTAAAACATCATAAATAGGATTATTTTTATCACGATTTATTTTTGTAATCTAAATAAAACCTTAAAATTGACTTTTTTTTTTGTTTTTTTCATAAAAAAAAATAATGGCTCACCATTATTGGTTCTGTCCCGATAGCGGAACCGATGAAAGCGTTGTTGCGGGACATTTGGGAGATGCGCCATTAACTTTTTGTCTGGAAAATATGAGCAAGTGTAAATGTAACGAAAATTGGCTCCAGCCAAGAGTTTTTCTCCATGGCTAAAACCAGGGAACATACATGAGGCTCAGTGGATTTTGTGCAAGAATTCATTCAAGCTCGGAACGATGGGAATTAAGGCAGTGGATTCACACATGCGAAACACAAAGCGTCAAAATTGAGTTACGGAGAAACAGCCGGTATTTCTCAGTTTTGTTCCACCCTTGTCTCTGCAAAACAAAGTTTGTGAATTCAGTTAAATAATTGTTAAATATATCTGTCATTTGTGTGTTTTTAGCTTTCTTCCTGTATGGGAAGCTTTTCAAAATTTGAAACATTAGTGCAGTGGTTTATGTTAAAATAAACCTTTGGTTTAAGTTGTCGCAAGCGGGTGTTTCTTGTGAATTTGGTCTTAAATTTTTATTTCAAGTGGCATTAAAAAGTCTTGAATTTAACTTGCCTTATGCTGTAGGAACCCTGCTTCAAGATACAGTAGAATCTTAAAGATACAGAGAATGGTGGATGAACCCAGTGAATTTGCTAACACAACCTTAAATGAAACAAAACCAGTTAATCTTATCGTATTAGTTCCCCAAAAAAATTTAATGTCTGTATTTTGGAAATATCTTGGGTTCCACAAAGAGGCAAAAACTTGTTGAGCATGTTGGTAATGTAAAGGAAAAAGTTGTATTGGGACACCTCAACTTTTTTCATGAAGTCATAGTTTTGTTTTTATGGTTTTTAAACTGTTGTTTTGTGGTTCATTAAAATTATGATTAGTTAAAATTTATTTCTTTATCCTGCAAACTAAATGATCCCAAAGTACAAAATGACTTGAACTTTGAGTAAATCTCCTCCTGACTAGAGCAACACTTTTTCTCAGTTGTTCACCTCTCTCTGTAGAAGCTCTGCTGCTAACTCTGCCTACTTAACCTGCCTCCACTGATTTCAGGAAAGGTTGCGAGCTGTCTAGAGATTATGTCCTCCAGTTTTAGTCAGGCATTATGTTTGCGAGTCGCATGGTAAATGGTACCCGCGGGTCCATTAAAAGTCTTAAAAGGCCTTGAATTCTTCAAAATAACACTAAGGCCTTAATTGGTATTAAAATGTCTTAAATTAGTCTTTCGTAGGTCTTAATTTTTAAAACATCATAAATAGGATCATTTTTGTTACGATTTATTTTTGTAATCTAAATAAAACATTAAAATTGACCTTTTTTTTTTTTATAAAAAAAAATAACGGCTCACTATTATTGGTTCCGTCCCGATAGCGGGACCAATAAAAGCGTTGTTGCGGCCGGGACATTTGGGAGATGCACCATTAACTTTTTGTCTGGAAAACAAGTGTAAAATAACCAAAATTAGCTATTCAGCCAAGAGTTTTCTCCATGGCTAAAACCACGGAACATATATGAGGCACAGTGGATTTTGTGCAAGAAGGCATTCAAGCTCGGAACGATGGGAATTAAGGCAGTGGATTCGCACATGCGAAACACGAAACACAAAGCGCCAAAACAGAGTTACGGAGAAACAGCCGGTATTTCTCAGTTTTGTTCCACCCTTGTCTCTGCAACGCCTCCACCTATCACCAAATCAAACATACTAAGAAAACGATACAAAGAAAAATAGCTGCAAAAAAGACTTAGCACTGGTTATGTTGTGGCTTTTAAACTGATTTGTTTTGTTCCCTGCTAAAACAAAGATTGTGAATTCAGTTAAATAATTGTAAAAATATATCTGTCATTTGTGTGTTTTTAGCTTTCTTCTTGTATGGGAAGCTTTTCAAAATTTGAAACATTATTGCAGTGGTTTATGTTAAAATAAACCTTTGGTTTAAGTTGTCACAAGCGGGTTTTTCCTTGTTTCTTGTGAATTTGGTCTTAAATTTTTATTTCAAGTGGCATTAAAAAGTCTTGAATTTAACTTGCCTTATGCTGTAGGAACCCTGGCTTCATAATGTTGGCTGTTAAGATATTCAAAATATCAGAAGGGGATGTGTTATTTTCTATCACTGTGCTTTTGATATCAGTTGTGGTCTTATAAATTTTTTTTCTGGTTTTGCACAGATGTCGTCATTTCCACTGCCTGCCACCCAACAGAGAACATCATCGCTTCTGCCGCTTTAGAAAACGACAAAACCATCAAGCTATGGAAAAGCGACTGCTAATTCCCTGGGGGCTTTTTCTGAAGTACTTTTGGGCTATTCAACTTTCTATATACATGTTTTTTTTTTTTTTTTTCTACATCGTGTCACGAGACAAGAGGACCTTTTTTAACGGAGCTCTTAATGGATGCAGAGAACTGTACCTGAAATTGAGTAAGGAGTAGCAACACCAACCACCAACACACCAGCTTTGCAGTGAATATCTTCCAAACAGCCAATGTTGTGCGTCACGTTTATTCATCTCTTGGGGGAAAAAAATAAAGTTAATCCTGTTAAAGGAACACTGACAGCGACTTTCAGTATTTTTGACTCTACATTTGCCTCTGCTTCATAACAGCTACTGTACAATAAATGTTAAACTGTAGTTACTGGGCCTTCGTACAATTCCTGTTGTCCTTTTAATTGGTCTGTGACTGTTAAGTACCAGTTATTTGAAGAGGGGATATTTACATTAAGCTTCAGTCTTAATAAAATGGAAAAAAAGATGTTACCAATATTTCTCTGTCAGATCTGTGTGCCACACAATATTTTTTTTTCCTTTTTTCAGAAGGCATCAAAATAAGAATTGGTGTTAAATTTATTTTAAATCTTTTTTTTTTTTTATGTAACTGCAAACATTTTTTTTTGTTGTATTTGTATATAAAACTTTTTGGGGGTCATGTTCTGTTGGATTAGTCGATTTGAAAACAACAGACATCCTGGTTTCTGTAATAAATTCTTTGTTTCCAGCTCCCAGATAATCTCCAACCTAATAAAGTTTTGTATGTTTCATGTCGTGTTTGTTTCTGCTCCTCAACTTACTCCGTAGTTCACTTTTTACAAGGCCCTTTTTTCATCTCTGTCAACTCAATTGACAACATGCCATCACTAGGCACTTTAGAAAGGCTATCAGATCACACAGATGGGTAAAATCTAAGAAAAAGCTGATTTTAGAGCTATTGAGTTATCACATTTGATCCACAATGCATGCATGTGGTGACAGTGGAGAGGAAAAACTTCCTTTTACAGGAAGAAACATTGAGCCTGGGGTTTTCTTGAGACAGGCGCTGTGTTCAAAACTGCCACCTGTGTCCTAAAGACCCAGCCCACCTGGACCTTTGAAGGCCGTGGAAATGAGGCTGGAACCACCATTCGCTCAGTATAAGCTATGTCACCTAGCAACCATGAAAGTTGACTCACAACTGACTTCATGATAATCTCTGCACTTTTTTACAGACCTCTAAGACTATCAGAAAGCAGATGCATTTATGCGGAGATTTGATTGTACACAGGTGGATTCTATTTATCATCATCAGTCATTTAGCTTAAGTTTGATGAACTGAAAGTAAAGGAACCGATTCATTTGCATGCCCGTCTTCATTTTTGTATATGTAAAAGAAGTTTTGTAAGTTTGTAAAAACATTTCTTTCCACTTCATGATTGAGTCCCACTTGTTGATTCTCCAAAAAAAAATACTATTTCATATCTTTATGTATGAAGCCTGAAAATGTGGCAAAAGGTGAACAGATCAACGTGGCCAAATACTTTTGCAAGGCAATGTACATCTATCCATTTTCCGTCATGCTAATCCCTGCTGGGGCTGCAAGGGTGCTGCTTTTCTCAAAGGTCAAGAGGCAGGATACACCCTTGACAGGTTGCCAGTCAATGACAGGGCAACGCAGAGACAAACAAGCATTCACACACACACACACACACACACCTAAGGACAATTTAGAGAAGCCAATTAACCTAACAGACATGTCTTTGGACTGTGGGAGGAAGTCGGAGTACCCAGAGAGAACCCACGCATGCTCAGGGAGAACATGCAAACTCCATGCAGGGCAGCAAGAAAGGTTCTGGGTTCGATTCTGAACCCAGAACCTTTCTTGCTGAAATGCAGCAGTGCTACCCACTGCATCACTGTGCAGCCTACTGAACTGTACATCATTAAATAAATTTGTTAATACTGGATTTACATTCACATTGAAGGCTTAGGTGAAGGTAATAATTTTAGATACTCTGAAAGCTCAGCTGAGTCATAACAGTCCAAACACAGTTCAGGTTCCACAGTTACAGTAGATGCTGCCTCATATTCCCACAGAAACCAATTATATTCAGAGGAATGCCAATTATTTTATTTTTAATAGCAACCTTATATCAACCCTATTTAAAAAACCCTATAAATAATTTCTGCTTAGAGAAGGGAGAAAAATGGAAGGTTAAACAGCTCTGTTAAATCATCCTATATGGTTTGTTTTATAGATACTGCTCAAAGTGATCTATTTCCATCTTTTTATTTTGTCATTTTATACGACTTGAAGGTATAGGTATAGTGGAGGATCTTCACAAATTTTTTGAAAGACCCACCCTCTCCACCTTAAAAAAAAAGCACATGCACAACCCTATACCTGCTCCAGAGAGGAAACGCCTATTAAATGCGTGCGAGAGCGTGCACAAGCCCATTTCTCCTCCTGCACGCTCTGTTTAAAAGTTGCTGTTTGCATTGCTAATACAAACTTACTTTCCAAAATAAGATTTGCACATTTCCCACTATGTTAGTCTCACCACCGGTAATTGAAAATGGGGACGAGAACGTAGGATGGCCTTAAGTAAACATATAACCAGAATGATTGACAATTAGGAGGACCACTTATTTTGATGATCCACCTTGAAAAAAAAAAAAAAAACATTCTCCTCTATAACTTTAACCAAAAAGTAAATTTTTATTGCAAAAATAAAATGTGTTGTCTGGTCTCCCCAGTCTTCCTACAAGTTTTTCCTTTCACCATATTTCCCATTACTCTCTGAAATCGAACATTTGCAGCAATGATTTTGTAGCCTGTCCTCTTTGTGAAAGGTGACTATCTTGCAAATACCCTATTGATTGTCTTATGGAATTAAATTTTCTAAGAAATTTAGCAATGGGAAACATGTATCATAAAAGCTGCAGATAAATCACTGTGATGAAATCCACCTCTATGTATTCCTCCTGGTTTGGGAGCAGCTTTGGCCGTAGAGGAGTTGAAGGGTCCGGGTTTTCCTTCTGCATCTGTTACTTCTGTCATTTAAATTCAAATAATGGAGACATAAAAAATCAACTTTCATCAATTTGAAGATTTTTTTAATAACTTTTTCTTTCTGTCCATGAGATAGAACATTAAAAACAACCAACAAACAACAGGTGACATAAATGTCTCCTTAAAGACAGAAAATAAAAATGCGACGATCAGAGATTTCCCCGTCTTGTGGCGACAGGTTGAGATGGCAAAATAAAAGGCGACACAGTTACCAAAGTGCCAAAGCAGACAATTCTTCCCTCCTTGCAAAGTTACACTTTCCCTCTGAAACTGAGTAAGCTTTTTCCACAACCGATTAAACAGCCCACAGAGGAGAAGGAGAACAACAGAGTAAATAAGCAGAGGATAAAATTACCTTTGTACAAAAATAGATCTTTTCCCCAAGTTTTTTTTTTTTCCAAACTAGAACATTTGACTGTCTATGCAACAAACAAAGCAGTGATTGTGTTGTAAGCTCAGCTTTTCCTGAATACACATTTTCAACATACATTTGCTAAGCAACATTTACATTTTGGAGAGTTTAAAGTTGATATTTTTTATTTTTTGCCTCTCCTTATTTTTCGAGGTCACAGAAAACGGCTTAAGCTGGTTTCTTTTAAGTTCAGAGCTGCTGCTGGTGGATCTTTTTTTTTTAATAAAAGTTACAACCCAACCCTCCCCATCCATATTTGTGATAAAAACAGCATTAAACTCCCCTTAATTAGGAAAAGTTTGAAATTTAGATTTTTTTTTTCTCGTTTTCAGTTTTGAAATATTCAATGAGCAGATCTGCTGATATATATTTATAAATATATACACATATACATATTAACAAAATATAGCTTTATGTTATAAAGCATTCGTTTAGGGTTTTATTCTAAGTGGACGATTATTTCCTTATCTTCTCAAGTTGCCATTTTCCTACAGGGACTGTTAGCTTTTGCAAATTTTATGCTTTTTATGGCTTGTTTGCAATCTTCAATAGGGTTAGGGTTATGACAGTCTCATTTCTGACTCAGCCAGAAATGAGAATGTTCATTTTGAATGTTGGGGAAACAAGTGTTTGTTTTCAAATCTCTACAAAAGACAAAGCGTATTCTTCATCAGAGAAACAAATATAGGTATTTCCCAAATATATAAATACTGTAAACAGAGCTCAAGCTGGCAGGTAATACTGTCACCTGGATAGGTTGCAAGAACAGACCACCTTGCTAAAGTTCATTTTAGTAATAAACAACCATGCTGATGGGTTAAATTTAAGTTATTGCTACTTCTCTCGTCTTTAGATGGGGAAAGCTCCTGCTTTTCTGCCTGACGCAGAGCATCCGTGACAATGAGAAAGCTGTGACAAAGTGCCTTCTGTTTGTCTGTTTAAATACTAGAAAACAATTTCAAGTAATGTTGCAGCGCTGCTTTTCTTCCACCAGAGGGAGCTCACAGTACACAAATCATCACACTTCACTATACTTTAGGTAAATCAGGGCATCCAGTATATGTTTCTTTTTTTCTTTTTCAATTACATTTGACATTTCACAGATACATTGTCAACATAAAATATGTCTGGAGATAATTTGGAATATTAAGTAACCAGAAATGCAGAGAACTGATTTAAGCCCCCGCTGCCATTGGTGAACTCTTTTAAAGGTGTTACTGAAAATATATGTTTTTTTTTAAAAAGGCAATGAAAGGCAATAGTTGAAATAATTTCCTTCTATCTTAATTAAAGGCAAAAGGGTCGTCAGTTGTTGCTTTTAAAATCTATGTTTATCTAAGGGTTTAAAAACAGAGCTATGTCCTGGTTTGTTTTAAATTTGATGTGGTTGTTGCCATATTTCATCCCAACGGTTTTAGAATCAATGCTTTATTCCATTTATCTCAAAAGCTGGGACAAAATGGATATTAGCCTAAATAACCAACTGACTCTAGAAACTGAATGCATCATAAAAAAGCACTACGACTAAAGGACTATGTTCCATTTTTCATGAAGTCCTTTTGCTGTATCAGTCTGAGAACAGGTTTCTTAAAAGAAAATAAGCCAAAAACAAATTATTTCTCAGTATTAAAATGGATGACTGATTCAATAATAGAAATCCTTTTAATTTAAGTATTTTAAGCCTGATCTATTTGTCTTTCAGTTATTTTTTCTCAAACTTGGATTATTAGAACTCCAACTATAAAAGGAAAGCACCATTATCTGATTATTTCAATAATAGTTCATCAGCTAATGTTTCCGTTCCCAATCTAGTTTGTATGAAAATGATTGACCCAGAGCAAAAATGACTATCGATATCTGAAAAACAGGGATGCCCGCCTTGCAAACATTTACTCTTGTTAAGCCGCTTTGTGGACAGTCTTTGGAAATGTACACTATGCATAGTTTTGCAGCAGCTGCAGCATTTAGAAAGAAAAGCAGAAAAGGGCGAAAACACTCACACAAAAAAAACTAAACAAAAACAGACACGAAACACGTTTACACAAAATTATTTTTAACATTTCAGTTCAAATTAAATGTCACTTGGTTTGTCCAGAGAAGTTCACAGAGTGAATGTGTGTGTTCTTTTTAGGAGAAGTACTGAGGCGTTCTGGAACGGGAGAGTGCCAAACTGCACCGCAGAGGTCGATCACATCAACATCCGCTCTCCATTTAGAAACCCAACGACACCGTCATCAGGTTAAGTGCCAAGTAACAAACAAAGAATGGCTCTGCCACAACAAACAAGCGCTTCTCCCGTATTCTCCAAAGCCTACATGAGGGTATGGAAACAGAGGTATTTGTGCATTGCTGAAAATAAGGTCAATACTGTTGTAGCTTTCAGTACAGGTAGATATGAGGTGTTTATAAAAATAAAAAAAATAAAAAAAAGACGCTTACTGCAATGAGCAGAGGGGTTTCGGAGCATGGAGCTGTCACTGCTTGGCAGAAATTTGCATGAAATGTAAAGAGACTTCAGAGATTATGTGGGACTCTGTTTAGGCAAATAAATGCCTGCAAAAAATTGCGATGAGTTGGCCCTGCACCTGCTGGAGGCCTTCTGGAGCATCCAGTGATGCTCATGTCTGATAAAGCTAATTTACAACAGTTTATGGGCACAGAGTTCAACAGATTGTACGGAGCAGGTTCTTCCAACTCTTTTTAACAACAGGAAAGGGTGATTTGTTGACTGCTAAGACATCCTTCCCTAACGCTGCACAGTGCTGGTACAGTAAGACATGGTCGGGTCTGTTGGAATTGGCCAGAGACCTGAGGTTTGGGAGTTCTCGCACGCTTGTTAAGCCACTTCTGAGTTCTACGCCGGCAAGATCACTCTTCCAATTAAAAAAACAACAACAAAACACCTAGTGCAAGAGCTGACGTGTTCAGTCAGATTGAATAGACAAGTTTCTTTGCTTGATGTGTTGTTGCCCCACCCCCAAAAAAACTAAACAAAACAAAAAACTCTCCAGTCTTGAAAAGCAATAAAAGGCTCAAATCCAAGATTAAACATCCCAGGAGTTCCATAGAATCTGGAGTTGTGATAATCAGCTTGGGTTCTGTGGCCGTTAAAAGATCGATCGGGGAGGGTGTGGGGGGCATGACAAGCAGAGCCGAAGACCATGGCTCAGTATGTTTGCGTTCTCGTCTTCGTTTTAGTCCAATCTCGTCACACACTGCTTTTTTTTTTCTTTATATATATATATAGATATTTTTCTTATTTATATATTTTACAAGGTATAAAACGGACCCAGAACCATGAAGGATTCCTCATTTTCAGAGGTGGTCAACAGAAAATATGGATGGAGGGACTAAAGGAAGAATGGAGAAATCTGTTTCTGTTAAAACTGTCTTTTTTGGAGAGATGCTCCTAATCCAAGTCAGCTGGGGTGTTGAATGTCGGGGGTCTTGAGTGTGGGGCGAGGTTCAAGAGATTGAGGACCAGGAGTGCTCACTCCCATTATGTCATTTGATGAGGGGCTTCTAGCATCTCCATGAGGAAGGTATCAATGGGTGTGTCGCCGATGAGCTTGAAGAAGAAAAGGTGCTCCAAACACTTGAGCCCGATGGAGCGCAGCGCTGGTAACCGTAGCAACAGCTTGGCAAACCTGTTATGACCCAACGCAGAATAAAAAGAAAACATGTTAATGGCTTGGAAACACAGTGAAAATGTGTTCTTAGTTTAGTACCACAGGGTTCCATTCTAGGATCTGTGCTTTTTTCCTACACACATGTTCCGCCTGAGTTCCATCTTTAGGAGATTTGATATCTGTTCTCCATGCATGATGATATCTAGATTCTATCATCCAAGAAAAAATGTTTACTTGTGTAAACATTTATGACTTCTTATCTCTTCCGAGTCTCTAGACTTGAATATAAGCCTAATTGAGGATGAAAGCCTCACAGAGACTCCCTTGCAATGTAAAACTGGGTGGATTGGCATGGAAAAAAAGAAAACATTGCAAATTGATGGACAAAATGATTTGGCACCCCTGGATGTTTCAGGCTCGTCTGCTCCTGATGAGCTCCATTCTGCCCTCAAGTGAAGCTACATATATATTTTGGCATCTTGTTTAGACCCTAAATTATATGGCTTGTAGAAACATCGACAATTTTAATCCTGCATTGTCAAGTTGATATAATAACTTCTTATCAAATCTGTGTATAGGTTTTAGAAATGTACAATATATGTTTAATTCTAAGTTATTTTTACCCTTCAGATGTACAGTTACAAAAGGTCCAGAGTGTCACACTGCTATAATTTTAACTTCATTCATCTTAATGGAGGTCAGACCTTTTAAATATTTCAGACACTATTTTAGAAAAAATCTTATATTTAATGTTAAATTAATTTCATAAAACTGTCTTTATAAAACTGTATCTTCCAGGCAAGGTAAAAACTTTCTTTCCTAATGTTTTTGAGTAGATACATATTTTTTTAATTGCTATTATAGCAAGGAAATTAAAACATGTAACAACAGAGTTGGCTGAGCTTATAGGTTTCCTAATGCTACTGGTTCATGTTATGTACAGGATTGTTAATAGGTTCAATATCGCTGTCCCATCTGATAACACTCTAAGTTTGACTCTGAAAATGCATCAAACTTGTATCTTCTGTTGTTTTTTTTCTAATAATCAAATGAGATATAAAATAGCAATAGGTTTATATTTGTAACTTTGTAATTTTAACCCCAATACAGAGTAAATGAACACAGATGATGGTAGATAAGCACACTGCTGTATAAAGACTTGATGAAAGGCAAATTATGGTGACAATATTTCTCCTGTGGCATCTTCACTGGGTTTAATCTCACCTGCCTGGCTGTTCGGGGTATTTCTGTTTGCAGTAAGCCTCTAAAGAAGCGTAGACTTTCTCTCTCAAAGCCTCCACCTCAACCGGGTTGGACAAACCTTTGGAGTCTGTAGACACAGAAGAAATAACCTGGGTTAGAGCAGGTTTAACTGCTTTCCTTACATCTTATCAATGAGGGAACAATAATAACATTATTTTTAATTAAATAATTAAATAAAATATTTTAAACTCAAAACTTCAACATACATTTTTCATAAATATTTCTAATGTTGTTTCTACTTGTATTTAAATTAATACATGAAGTCATTTGACATTTAATCCATTGAATCAAGGCACCTTTAGCCTTCTATAACATTTCTTGTGTTTCTTAAACTAAAGTTTTCACACATGCCTCAAAGGGCCTCAAACACAATAAACAAAGATAGAACTCAGAATTAGCTAATCAGCAAATAAATGCACTTTTTAATCATCTGTTTATTTATTTTATATTTTTTTCAAAGAATCCTTCTTTTCCTGGAAAGTTAGACTGTGACATCTAAAGGACATTGTAACTCTCCAAGCTCAGTTCAAACATGTGTGGCCCCTTTTGGGTCTGTCCAATTAAGGCTTTGCTAATTTAGGCTCAACAGAAGGACTGTGGTTTGCAAAACAAACATGTCATTGATGAACATTTCTGCTGGACAAAGAGCTGCATTTCAATAAAGCCTGAACTAGTTTGCTCGGTGTGGGAAAGGAATGACTGCAGGCCCCTTTTTGCACCCCCCTGCTCCCTCAGATAAACCAGACTTACAAACCGCTAATTAACAGGAATCAGGCAGTAAAGAAAACCAGGAACAAGATGTTGAGCACAAGACGATCAGATTGTCTGGGGTGCGTAGACCCAATGTGGCCCCTGAGGGGCCGAGGAAGGATCTTGGGTCACATTCATGGGCAGCTTTGATAAACATGGATGAAATTTACTCTGATAAGGTTTAAACAGATCAGTGAGTCATGCCTCTGTAATAAGCTGAGCCTCATATCAGGAGCCTTTTCTATTTTTAGTAAAAAAACTTTTTGCAGAATATAAGCAAAAATATAAAACCCTTGCTTGATGGATTGATTGATGGTAGGATGTTCAAACTGATGGCTAAATGGATGAGTGACTGCATAAATAAATGGAAGGGTGCACTGATGGATGGATGAGTAGAAACATTAACAGACTGACAGATGGAGAAATTCGTAGTAAGAACATCCAGCTGTCTTTACAAAGTTTTTCTTTGTGGGAAATGCCCTTTCTTTGTGTAAATACCTGACTTAAAACCAACTCTGACCACTAAACCTTGAAGTCCCTACATAAACAATGACATCTGAGTCAAGACATAAACTGCTTTGTATCTGTAACAGGAGAAACAGCATCAGAAATCCTATCTGATGGCTGTTTTAACACAGAATATGATTTTGAGGACAAAAATGAAATCTTGCAAACATAACGATCCGAATCGAAATTGTCATAAAAAGTTTGTAGAAAAGTTGATAAAAAGAGGATGGGAAAAAAATGCTTTCAAAAGATAAGGAAAGATGCATTGTCTTTCAGCTGATTGTCCTACCCAGTAGATTAGAAAGTAAAACGTTTGAAATGAAAAAAAGCATAAAAAACCCACAGATTTTTAGAAGCAAAATACTGAGAAAAAATACAGTAGCAAGATTGTTGGACAGCACTCCTTATATGGCTAAATATAGAGCTTCTGTGCCCTGTTATTACCCTCTTTAAAACCATAACTGGTTTTCTAGGCTCTTCATTTGAAACCCTCACTTTACAGTTGTTTTAAAGCCGCTCTTGAAAGTGAAAGCTTGCTTGTACATGACTGTTACCTGGGTTGAAAAGGACGATGGCTCGAAGGCACCCCAGCTCAGTCTTATCCATCTGCATGTCTCTCATCTTTGACACCAGCTCTGTGAGCACTCTATACAGAAGAAAAGACGACAAAATAAGACATAAAAGCAAAATCTGTGGCCAGAACTGCAGTCTGCTTTGGCTACTGTTTTATGTCAAATAACCAAATAAGTGCCAGAAAAGTTCACATCACAGGGACCCACTTGACTCTAATTGGTACTTTTTTTTTTCTTTTTTGATGCAAACAGCTCTTCAAGTTAATTTTTCCAAACCAGTATATTAAAAATATGTTTTCAGCCTCCAACAAGTTCACATCTGTGTAAAAATAAACCCGCATGAACACAGTGAGGCACAGTTAGATCAGTGGAAAAGTTTACAACCCTGCAGAGTAATTATATTTAGTGTGTGGTTTTTATACAGGGAGAGCCGCAGAGTAAACACAAGCTGTAATCCAACACCAGCACTCCCACTGTCTGTGTGTGACATCACAGGGTAGGGTTTGCCCCAACCGTTACCCCTCTTTGACACGGTCACACCCTCGCCCTGCCGCCCGTCCTTATTCTCTCCGCTCACTTTTTCTTTCAGGCCTTTAGGATTGCTAAGTCAATTGTGACTCTCGGCTAATTTAATTTGCTCCGAGGAGGAACGACAGAGCCAAAAGGGGAAAACAAGGGACTGAAGTGTGTAAGTTAATCAGACTTAATTTGTATGGGAGAAGAGAGACAAAGGAGTAGATAAGGAAGCATAATCAGTGCTCTGGATCTTAATGTTTGCCACAGTTAATGCAGAGATGGAAAATGTCCCCTGGCTCAACAACTGGCCGGTTGACAGTAGCTGTCTATTTTCTGCTGGCAACGTGTTCACTGATCATTCTCCTGATAAATTATTTCAGATGAATGAAAAAAAAAACACGAGACTTGTCTGAACAAATCAGCAGTTTAAACACACCACATCCATCTTCTGCAGTCAAGCATTGTCTGTCTGCAACACTCAACTGCGTCCAAGTTTTTACCTTCTGATCCGAAATAATACCCTGAGATTACAAAAAAATCGGTGTGCATATTACGGAACAACCCTGGAACCACCAACAATCAGTGCTTGCAGTGAAATGAGATTTAAACTCCTGCAGCATCTGTATCAGGGAGAACACCTTATTTTTAACACAAAACTTTAAGAGTGCAGCTTTAACACAACAAGATTTATTATATAAAAAAGGAACCCACCAGGCTGCATGTAAAAAAAATCCAAACCCTGATGTTTAATCACAAATTAACCTGGATTCATCTAATTTTTTGGACAGTTGAACAGAATTCATTAAGATACAGAGTGACTTAATTACTGCCTGTTCTACTGATGTAAGCAATCGGTTACATAGAACTAGTCTGACAGCATGAAGTAGGCTGGAAAATCTCAACAACCAACAAATCAAACTTCAGTCTCAGGATTTTAACATATATTTTAATAGAAAAATAGTCATTGATACAGATTAGTCTTGTTCGGCTTACAAAGCTATTTCAAAGCGGTGGGATTTTGGGAAAAAGCATTGAGAGCCATTAGCCACAATGGAGAACAGTGGAAAAATGGTGAACATTTCCTAGTGCTGCCAAGCTATCAAGCTATAGTCTAAGAGCGAATCAGCGACTAATAATGGAGGTAGGCCTGAGTGATAAACCAGATTTTTACCATTATCGTAATTTACTACGATACCCAGCGACAATTTTCCCATGTTGGTAAAAGAAATAAAATTTATTCTGCCGTTTTGCCAGTGTGCGCTGGTGGCTCCTTCCCCTTTAAGATACAGCAGTGTGTGTGTAATCACGGGACCCCACCCATCCAGTAAGCAGCGTAAACAAAGAGAATGGCGGATGATGTGCCCGGTGAAACATGCAGAGATGAAGCTGAGCTCGAGTTTTCTGAGTTGACCACGCGGCCAACAGGTTTTTAGTGAGAGTGTGTGGCTTTAAACGATTCATATTGTTCTCACTGTGTGCTTGTTTTGGTGGTTCGAAAATTACGCCATAGATGTTGAGCAAAAGAACATGAAATGCAAAGTTTGTCTGAAAACTGTTGAGACTACCCAAAGTAACACATCCAACCTCAACCACCTACAGCAAAGCCACGCTGTTGAGTTCAAAGATGTGCGAAAGGCTCCATTACCTTTGATCAAAAAATTTTCACAAGAGAGGAAACAGTTTTCTCCTGGTCAATTGTTAACATTCTAGAATCTTTTAACATGAAAGTAATAGATAGAGGAGCTAGTGCATTTATCATACATTTGTCGTTATTGAGGTAAAACTGTCTCGTTTATCCAAATTTTATTGGTTTGAGGTCATATCGCCCAGCCCTGCCTGAAGGTAGAAAAACCAACATCTAAAAAACTGTTGGCTTCATCTGCCCCCAGTTTATGCATTGGGCATGTTACACAGTATTTAAGAAACTAAACTGCTGATATTCAGTCACATTGGTGACAGGCTTTTTTTCTGCTTCAGGGTCTGAATGTCCAGCATGACAACATAAGGATTTTGTTCTTTACATAAAATCCTGAGAGAATTTATGTGTGACTATCAATAAAAAAACGGGTTATGAATAGAAAAATTCAATGGAAAATATTGCCATGATTTATACTTAACTGAAAAATTTAACATTTCAGAGTGGTCCATTCATGTAGTAGGTGAACTTGGTTTGATCATTGCTGCATTTTATGAAATGGAAATGTTCATTTTACTGCTAAGCTGCTGCTCATTCACTGTTTTAAAGTTGTACAAAATGAAATTTAATTTTGTATACACTATGTGAATACAAAATAAAAATAAAAGTTGTCTAACTATGCGATCCTATGTTACTACTGAACAGTATTAACATTATTATGCAGTTTCATTTTACAGTTAAAATGTAAAAAACACCATCAAAGGTCAGCCTCAATTTTTAAAAGGTTTGTTCAACTATATTTTTTAATGTAAAACAAAACAACTGAATATCATCTGCATAGCAGTAACAAATAAAGAAGGTAGGGCCAACAACACAACCCTGTGGAACGCCAATGGTTTTAAATGAATTCAGGTGTTGATCTGAGGTTCATTTTGAGAACAGAAAATCTTAAATGAGAAGAAAAACAATCTTAAGATTAACCGGATATATCTGGCTATCATTTTAATATTCAGATTAACACTAAATGATCTTTAGTGTCAAAGGCTAAGCTTTAAGTCTGGGGTCACGAAGGCTGCAGGTTCCTCTACATTTATGCAATTCAGAGAGAAAGGAGCGCTGACTCAGTAGAGTGGTTTCTCTTGTAAGCAGAAATTCTCCAAATGGTAAAGTCATTGAGCAAATTTAAGAGCTCTGCATCTCTGAGATTAAACATAAACATATATTCTCCTAAGAGCTGATGACTGTAAAATGTTTTTAGGCCAAGGAATATTTTAAAACTGAATTTGTGTTGGAGCGCTTCCTGGATTTAAAAACAAGAAGTTGAAATAACAGTACTAATAGTAAAAGGTACTATTTCATAATGCCTTTATCTTTCAGATTCGGTCATGTTACAAAGAACAGAAGATATTCTCCTGTGGTCTAGATTTGTAACCCAAATACAAAACTGCAGAAAAGCCTTTAAAAATGTAAAATATGGGTTTTTATCTAGATTCATAAAAATTTGTTTTAAAATTAAGATAAGTACGCACCAAAGCCTAAACCAACCTGCACTTTTGAGATGAAGATATCTTTTATTCACTCAAGTATCTAAACATTCCACCTTTGCAGCACTGAGGGATTTTTGATGCCAGTTGAAAGCTCACGTTATCATCAGGATGATCTCGCCAACTTAGCTCTCTCATAAACTTCTCCAAATTCCTCTTGGCAGAAACATTCAAGATTACTCAGACTGATATAGTGACGTCTGTCAGCAGCCTGATATGCTTTTTTTTATTGCAGTGTCACTCAAGGAATATTACGCGGTTTACTTTAAGCTCTGTTGTATGCAATGCTTCCTTATTTTGAAACGGGAACCCTTGTTTTAGAAGGACCATCCTTTGGAAAGTAGAATTTTTCTGCTTCTCTTACCTGCATCGTTTCCTGATTTAAGGATTTTTTTTTTGTGGTTCATGTGATGTGTTGGTTATGGCATGAAAGGTTCCTTCTATTAGAGATAATCACTTAATTTTTGGCTAACAGACAGTTATGGAATTATTATAGGATCAAAATAACTTTTATTGTCCCTCAGTAGGGAAACCCAAGTTTTCAGCTGCAATGTGACCTATATTTAACAAGTATAAAAAATATTCAAATAAGAATAGGAGATTTTAAAATGAAAATGTGCAAAATAAGAACATTTTCTGTTCATTCATTAGTTATCAAGATCAAAGTAAAGAAGAAAAAGTGTAAAACTGAGACAGTAGATTTTAAGAAATGAACTAATTGCTGAATTATGGTATTTAAACAAGCTTCATAAATGATTAAGATGAAAACATCTCTAAATATTCTAAGATGAATCACTGCAAGGCTGCAATATATTTATTTTGTTATTTTTAACCAGTTTCTATGAGTTTTGCTCAAGTTGTGAGGCAGTGGAAGACATGTCATGGTCTGATTATCTGCTGGCACACAATGTCAATAACCGCCACCAGGGCGGTTCCTACACTCTCCTAACTCGGCTGTGACTCGACTTTACATGGATTTTATTTATTTATTTTATTTTTGACATTTTTTGAGGTAGCTCAGGGTTCTCCCTGAAAACTCTGATGCTCCCTGGTGTTAATATTTAATACGGTGGAGTTGATCAATAATTCCTGTGCTGCCTCACTCTGTGATTTCCATTGGATGTAATGTCTTTATTGAAAGAATAAGGAATGGCATACGCTGTCAGAAAATGAAACTACTCAAACATACCCATTAAAGGCTATAACTTCACTTGCCTTGTATGAGCAGTAAGAAAAAAACAACAACTTCAAGTAAAATTTGCTGTGACTTTTTCTTCTGGAAAAACATAATTCATCTCAATAGGAGCTAACACAAAAATATCAGCTATTTTACTTCATTAAACACCCATTTTAAGTTTTAATCTGACTATATTCTTATCTCTTACAAAAAATTACAAAATGCAATTTCTTAGTAAATCCTATCCGACTATCAAAAAGGAGCCTGAGCAGTCGGCTTCCTGAATAGTACATCCACCAGGCAGAGAACAGGACATGTGATCAATAGTCAGGCAGAGATCTTTAGGCATGAGTTGCTGCATCAGTGCATTGAGGCATGGAGGAAATCATCTTAAGGCATTGCTGAGGTGGTAAAGGAAGCTCAGGCTCTGCTGACTTTTTTGGACTTTTTAAACAAATTAAATGTACGTTTTAACGTGGGCTTTGGATCCAATTTGTCCTTTTAAGCCCAGGTATACTACTACTGACTTTTCAGGAGTGGATTAACAAAAATAACTCAATGTTTATAGCACAGGACACAAGACTGCAAACACTGGTGGGAGGGGTGACTGTGTAGACCGTATCCTCGGATCTCAGTATTAAGACATTTCTTTTCTGTATTTGAGTAATATAATATATATATATATATATATATATATATATATATATATATATATATATACATATATAATTTTTTTAGTTTTTACAGCACTAGTTGCTCGTTTTTTTTTTTTTTTTTTAACGGTAGTTTGACAGGAAAGGGGGTATGAGAGAAGGGGAGAAAAAGGCGGCAAAGGACCACAGGTAGGATTTGAACCCGGGTTGGCTGCGTCAAGGACTAAGGCCTCCATACATGGGTCATGCATGCTAACCACTGCACCACAAAGTATGCTTTGATAACATCTGCTTGATAATTTACACTTTAAATATTCAGTTTTTAACCTGAATTACCAAAATTCAATTCACTTTAATTAGTTCATTCATTAGGGTGTGCTTTTAGATTTAAGATTCAGGGCTTAAATCTCCCTCACACTTTTGTCCTTTCTCCTATCATGCAACTTTCCATTGACTTCCATACAGCAACCAGCTGGCAGTTCTAGCAGAGACCTTTTGTGACTCGCCTTCCTTATGGAGGATGTAAATAACTGCTTTACACCGTACATCTATGATTGTGTAGGCCGTAGCGCAACATTTCAGTATCAGAAGTATTTTCTTTTGGTGTTGTGCAATATTGTAAATTATTACCGGTATTATAAATTAGGAAAAAAAAATATTATCTTTGACCAAAAATTCTCAACATTAAAACCTGAAATATGTTCCTTTGAGTTGTGTCTCTATGACTTTTACCTTTCCACTTTTCTTTGTGTAATCATACAATTACAATCTATTTTCTATAGATCTAAGAGCAGAAAAATCCCAAGACACGTTCATGTAAGTTGGATTTTTTAGAAATTATTTTCACACTTTGAAAAGTTTAGCAAAATTTAATAAAGACCTGTCAAAGATGGCTCCCACTCCAGCACTGTGGGCGCTGTTGCGATGCACGTGCAGCCCTGTCGCCAACAGAATCCCATCCTTTACTGCGATGGAACGGTGTGAAAATGATGCAATGAGGAGTTCATTCCAACCTGAGACAGAGATGGGGAGAGGGAGATCAAGGCAGAGAATGGTTTAAGTAAATCAGGAAAAAGAAAAAAGGTAAGTCCAAGTACAAAAGTTCATACAGCGTTCAAGAGACAAAATTAAAACGACAACAAAGGCAAAATTCTGATGAATCAATTACAACCGCACCGCAAAAGCCCTGCAGCTCTCCCAAGCACAAGCACCAGGTTATCGCTGAGACACTGGAATCAGGCTTTCTAAGAAGACAAGCGTGTAAACGGGATGAACCGTGCCTGCCATCGCAATAAAGACAACAGGCTTGATGTGCCAAGGCAGGGGGCCTGACATGGAGGAATCGGCAAAGACACAAGACGCAGTGGGTGAGCGACAGGGTTCCTTTAACTCTTCTGCCTGGCAACAGCTTGCCTCTACTCCCTAAAGTTGAATTTGACCATGAGATGAGCTGTGATGCTTTTATCTGTGATACAGCAGAACTAAAGCGGTTATTTATAGAAAACCTGGGAGAGGAGAAGAGACGAGCTCTGCAGAATACTATCTCTCCACTTTGGTGAAGTCTCTGCATCATTTTATGTGGAAAGGCTGAGGAGGAATTATGAGAGACGGGATTTTTTTTCTCCATTCGTTATTTTAGAGATGGACGGATAATAAAATGGTGTAATTTGGAGCGACAGGCAGAGAATGAAAGCAATGTGCTGCTGTCCTGCTTGTGATGCTGATGATTATAGCAGAGGTGACAGATGATAGCAGCTAGCTTGTCTTTTTCACAAGTAGAAGAAGCAGCTGGAGGCATCTCATTTAAGGTCAGTTTTAAACAACTTTTAGCCTGCATGCCTAGAAAGTCATCGTTAGCGCTGGCAATTGTATACTTCTGTATTCAGAGGACTTCTTTTATGAGCTGAAACTATGTTTTCCCCTGTTTTTTCCCTTTTCCTATTAAATTAGTCCATATGCATCAAACCTGTGTGAGTGTGAATTTCATTGCTTTGTACTTGACAATGTAATGACAATAAAGTTGAATTCTAATTCTAAGAAATTCAACTTTTTTTTTACAGAAAAAAATTAATCCATCCATCATCTCATATCGTTTTGTAAGGTTGGCAGGTAACAGAGGGAAACAGAGACAACACACACATCTCACCTGTTTCTCCTGCAGTTTAGTTCAGTTTATTAAAGTAGAATCCACACCCAGCAAAGCCTGCTTTCTAAGAACTCTCCCTACACGTTTCCTTTTTGAACTCCTGAACTTGTGCTGACATACCTGCTCGTAGCAGGATGACCTGGTCGTCCAGCGGCAGCTCCGAGAAGTGGGGAATCCTCTTGGCCCACTCCACCAGTGTGAAGAGTTGTTTGTCCGCTGCCTGACAGATATTTGTCACTGGGTCGTTGGGCTGCGGGGAAACACACACAGACACACAAAAAGGAGCACACAGGCTCAATGAATAAGTGTCTTTTTCGTTGTTTTCAGTATGCGAGTGTGTTTTGGCCCAGAGCCTGATCCCAGGATACCTGGGAGCAACCAATCATTGTGCTTTCACAGACATAATGACGGCAACATCAGTGCTAAGCTGGGGGTGATAGCCTGTCAAAAGGAAGGCGAGCAGGAAGACAAAACAAACAGTGATTCTGTCCCAGCTTGTGGAGGAAATACCTGCAGAGAGCTGCCGGTGAAAAAACAACAAAAAAAAAACAACTTTTGCTGAGCGTGCTAAATCTTCGGGGAGCTTTTAGCTAACACACTCTTGGAGAACTGGAGAAACTCAAGAGGGGCTTTTAGAAGTGTGACTGACACTTTACTACTAAACAAGTGCAAAGGAACTTTATTGCCAACCAAAATGGAACTGTAAAATATGCAACCTGCAGTATGTGCATAACTCCTATTTACTTCCAGTAATTCAGCAGGCCTTGTGGCTAAATTAGATTTTAAAGTACTCTGTTGTCTTATTGTGCATAGAAAAAAATAAATAAATTCGGAAGCATTGCCTATTTTTGTTTTTCCTAGGGATTTATAGGCTTAGAAGATTAACTGGAAAGAAATCATTAATGTGTGTTTAATGATAAAACCTAGCTTTGCACAGGATTGTGTTTTTTATTAGATCTCTTACTTGATTGTCTTTTCAGTGCCAAAAAAAAAGGGACGATGAAAGCTTTTTTCCTTCAGAAAAACTGTGCAGATGAATCTGAACAAAAGCTAGAATAATTTACTGAATTGACTTTATTGGGTTACTACAGGACCTGAGGAGATGTGGTCTTTAAAGCGGAAAAAAAGAATAATTTTACTGATTTTATATAACAGAAGGTTTTTTTTTTTACTTTCTCATCATTTTATGTGAGAAAATGTAAAATCTGCAGAACTGCTCCTTGATCAAATGTTAGGCATCTTGAAGTTCATTGCAAATAATTTTCCTAAAGATATTAAACATCTTTTTGCTGTCTGTTGTTTCTGAAGTCTTCAATGAGGCAGTGGATCCTAAACTTTTCTTGCCCGGCTCCCTTTGTCGGATTGGGGTTTCTGCAACTTCCAAATTAACTTCCTGACCAACTTTTTAAATAGCTGAACAAAGAAAAGTGAAATGTACTAAATTAAACATTGCAATAAAATAAACTAACATTTCCTTTAATTTACCAAAGTACCAATAGTAGTAATTATTTTAAGTAGCTTATTTTACTGTGTGACAGAATTGAACACCACTAAAAATAAATGAAAAAAAAAACCCTCTAAGGAAAAACCTCTCAATTGATTTCTACTAGAACCTGTCTGACATTATCATATAAACAAAAAGATCTCAAACAGCAGCCAATCGTGGACTGATCTAAATAAGATGAACAGATTAGATGTAAAGTGTTGAAATGTATTACAGTAGTCTGTCAGGGCAACCATGCCACTGGTAGCAAAGGTTAACTTTACCAGGAGAAATTGGCCTTAAAAGCATATTGATGACTAATAACCAACCGCTTAGGTGTCTTGGAGAAAACAAAGTAAAACTAATTAAGTCAGTCTGAATATAATTTTTTGTTCTGTATTTTGTTCCCGATTCAAAAAAAAAAAAAAAAAAACTGACTATAAATGAGTTACTCAGAGGAGCACCAGTTTCATGAATACAGGTTTATAATATGATTTTATTTATTTATTTTTTTTCGATTCCTTACTAACTTCCAGGCAACATACTTAAGTTGATTTCTATTTGAGATGGAAATAATAAAATGCCTAAGATTTATATGCTCAGGTTAAAAGATTTAATAAAGTAGTTTTTGTTTTATAATCAGTTATTTTATTTATTGTAATTATTTTTTCACTTTTGGACAATCATAAATACTTTTGACATAGAGGGGTAATCATGGTAAGACAAAATGCCCAAAGGGGTACACAAGTCAAAAAAGGTTTGAAAACATTTCATTTTTCCAATAATCTGAAACAGGGGAATCAAAAATGTTATTTCAGAACACTGTGATTGAACAGCGATGATAAAAGAGGATAAAAGAGGAAACCTGACTCCCAATTCTATTTACAGAGTGACATTCACGAATTAATACATAATACTTCCTGTTAACACTGCTTCTATAACTTTGAAACAGTGTCTATTTCTGACAGATTTCACATTTGAGGGCATGTCACTGCCTAGATAGCAAACTTTTTGTGCTGGAAAGGAACCTACATCTTTGCATTTTTAGGACGCCCTTTAACTGCTCAGTGTCAAGAAAATATTTCCTTTGAAGAATGAGTAGAAAATCCCTCCTGTTTTCACCAAACCAACATCAAATGCATCTTCTCATGAAGTGTGCTTGTGCTTAAGATTCAGAGGTACAGTTTTAGGATCTAAAGGGAATAACCATGGAATACTAATGTAACACATGCATACTGTATGACTACTTCACTAAAATGAAACCCATCCTAAACAATAGTGTCAGTCTTTGACGAGAAGTTTACCATCGTCCCACGAGTCCCAACCCCTGATATGCATATGTGAAAACAGGCACACTTTTTTTTTTGCATGTTATTAAATACAGTAAACATTCTTAAATGCTGTATTCCTGTGTGAACTCACACTTTGCCAAAGAAAGTGAGCAACTTCTCCCCGACTTCCTAAACCAAATCCCACAGATCGATGCTAAAAGCTGAGAAGATCCTGACATCAACTGCAGTTCTCTGGAGAAGATTAGTTCAAGATGAAGGGGAAAACTGGCATCCTCTGTTCTTAATGTGCAGACCAAAGACGACCCAATCCTCTCCTTTATGTTCCTTCCCAAACAGTGGAAGAGTCACAGTGCCTGCAGAGCATTGCAGATGTCTATCTGAAATGTACCAAATATACATAAAACTTATCCCAGAAACAAAGGCTGAACTGTTTTGGAAACTAAAACTTGTCTTTTTTTTTCCCCCTATGGGGCCAAAAAGACAACTGGCGTCTTATGAATATTTTAGCATCTGATCTCCGTGGGAAACGATGGACGGCACAGCTCGGAGCAAGAGTTTTGGGAGTTGCGTTTCCTCGCAGAAACACAAACAGATTGAGCTAATTTCTTCCAAAGGGCAGGCTGGCTAACAAACAAAGCAAAAAAAAAAAAAGGGAAGGGGGGGGGGGGGGGGGGGGGGGGTAGATATGTGCCACCATCAGGCTGGGGCCCAAGTCTTCTCTGCCTCATCATAAGAAGTCCCTGGAATGTCGTTAAACACTATGGGTCTCATCAATGTTGTATGAATATCTTAGCCATGTTTACACTGACCTCGTTTCTCTGTTTCCGTCGTAGGAGATGTCAGAGAAGAAGAGTTTGCACTTTGCTGAGACAATTAACAAGCCAAGCATTACTGTACCTACTGCTCAGGTCATGAGGCAACATTTGGGGTGCTATCAGACTACATTGAAAGAATGTGCATTGAGCTATGCCTCAATCACTGCAATGAAACATTAGAAATCCAACCTGCAAAAAACAATAAATCAAGAAGAAATCTGTGTAAAAGATATTTAAGCCGTGATCACACGCTAGGCTTTCTTTGTTCCAAGCAAAATCAGAGGATTTATAGCACATGTGCACCATCATCCCCAGTACTTAGAGAATTGCCAAGCTTGCATACTGTCCTATGAAATTTTCATCACTTGCGGAGGGGAGGAGAAAGATTTGCCTTTCAATTTTTCATTATTTCACTTAAACCAGATTGCACCACCGTGACAACAGAGAAAATTAAGCAGAAATGAAGATCAGGAGGGAAAAATATGTCTCCAGTGTTTCATTATAAATACATATATATATTTTTCCTCTTTAGTCATTGGTCTCCTGAAAGGTGAGCCGCTAACATCATCTAAAGTTCTAGTGTTTTTTTTTACTTCTATCTAGGTCCTGTCTTCTCTCCATCTTCTCTACCACTGCTGAAGACTTGGCAACAACATAACACGCCCACCAAAGAGTTAGCTCTCCTACACACGAACACTTTGATCAAGATCTTATTTGTGTGGAAAAAAAAAAAAATTATAATAAATGTTAATAAATGTGTATTTTATCCACTGTAGTTTAGCTGCCTTGAAAAAAAAAATATATATATATAAAAAAATCAGAGGTGCAAAAAAAAGATTAGTAAATCATTGCTACATTTTCTACCCCCTTCTTCTGAAGAGGAGATCCCTCCTCTGTGAGTGAAGGCATATTAATAACGCCTGTTTAACTCCTGTTCTAGGTCACCATGAGATAAACACACTTTTATTCAGCTAGATCAGACCTCGGCCATTAGACAGTGGCAGCGGCCTATTCATGGCGCGCACCCATGACCTGGACCCTGTGATTAATTATAGCACGGGGCAACGCACCTCAATGGACACCAGCGGGGGGAGGGGTTGGATGGGGACGTTAGGAAAGAAAGGAAAGTCCTCCTGGATGGGACCATTTGAACGCTGATACACTGCCAAAATGACCGACTATACTTTAGTGAAGGGGTCAGTGCCTCCGAATCAGAGAAACAAAAATCAGACTGTCTTCCTTCCCACATTACTTCTCTGTTGTTAGCAGGATTAGGCTTTGATATTCATATGGTATGATGAAATGTACAGGTTTCATGGTATCGAGCAACTTAACAATATTGACATATTTTGTTTTAAATTACTACATGCAGCTAATTTTGAAGCTGGAATATAAGATTTAGGTTTAATACAATGATAAGGATCCGTGTGAAAAGCCAGGATTTTAACGTAGGGCTGAAACAATTGATCAGATTAATCAATTCTTGAAATAATTTAGTAATCGATCATTAACTGGAGTATAGAGACTCTAAAACATTATTTTAGCTGACAGAGAAAACCACTTAGAGCAGCAATTATGCCAAAATTGTAAAAAGAAATATATAAAAATTGAGCATTTAAGAAAATAAAAACTTTTTCATATGTCAATACGTTTTATACAGAACTAATCATTTGGAAAGGTTTTAGTTCAGCCAATTTTAATTGTGTAAAAAGTCTGCTTTGGGGAACCTTTGGCTATCCGATTATAAATTGAAAAAAATAATTGACAGATTAATCGATTAGGAAAAGAATCGTTAGTTGCAGCCCAAGGCTGAAATAAAATCCAGTCCAAAAAACTGAGATGAAACTAAACTCCAGATTAAGGGTTTTTAAATCACATCAAGGTTTTGAAATAACACAAAGGAGGATAAACACATAAAAAAGATAAACACCAGCTAAATGTAGTTATACTTCCTAGTGAGCAGAATTTAATCTACTTTTAAAATTGTGACAGGAGGAAATTAGTAATACATTTTTTTTTACAATGTATTATTATTCCTATAACGTTTCCACAGTTGATTTGTTTTTTCTGTTTAGGACCAAGGATACATATCCTTATGAAACTCAAACTCAATATTAATCAAATAATCCTACAGTGGTCTGCTTATCGTTAGAAATTATATTCATCTCCTAGATCTGGACAGCTTGTAAATGTTTTCTAAATCCCTTCAGAAGCCTTCTTCTATGGTGCTGGGCAGGCGAGAACGCCGAGGGAGCCAGCTCGACTGAGCCCAGACACACTCAGTGCATTCGTGAGTCTTAGCTGCCAGTCGTTCCCTCTTGAATTTAAACTCCTCCTCTTTCTCCCTTATGTCAACACTCATCTGCTACATTTCCATCTTCCCCCCCAAAAATAGCTCCCATTTACTCTCATAACATCCCTCACATTTCTACCTTTACTTCACAGGACATTTCCCTCCCTTCTGAAGCAGATAATTCCCACAAGCCCTCCCTCTCTCCCCTCCACCTCCTCCCCAGTCCTGGTCCTTTGGTAAGCTGCGGCACGACTCCTCTACTTCCAAAGTTGCAACAGAATTCCAGTAACAGCAGCGGCTTTTGTGGGATCCTTTCAGGAACAGTCTGTCTGTTGCATTATTCATCACTCTTTAGTCTCCTCTGTGTTAAAGTGGGCCCAACTGATACTGGGAGCAGAGAAGGAAACTCGCATCTGAACAAAGAGCGTGAAGAGCTAAAGCAGCGTTCAAAAGCAACTCTCTGCGACACCAAATAAAGAAGAACCGCAACAAAAACATTTGTAGAATATAAAATATTAATTATATACAGGTAACATTCCAGAAAAGGCTATTTTCCTTTAAAGGTTTACTCTCTCTGCACTCAGTTCGAGGCAAACGGAAAAGAAATGAGCTTTGTGGAGTAGGAAAAAATTCATATATTTTACTTAAACTAAAATAGCTTCTAAGAAAAAAATCGAAAATCTTTTTGTCCAGCTATCAACTATATTTTTTAGAATTAAAATGTTAAATTTAAATTTTCTCTTTTTTTATATAAATAATCAGTGATAATCCATACAAGAACTGCTGAACTGGTTGGTTTTCCATATTAACTAAAATTGCAGCATCCCGTTTAATTTATGAAGTTCATATTTAGATGGACATGATAAATTAAATTTTTTATTCGATTGGTTTTCAACTTGTGGTAATGGGAGCAATGGTCGTAGATATGCTAACTTGAGTTTAAACCAGAAAGTATTTTTGACGTGAACTATTCCGAAGATAATTGAAAAGAACATCAACTAACATGAAGCTGAGAAGACAGAATGATCATTGCTTCAGAAAGACACAACTAAGAAAAAAATGGAGGGGAGGCCATTACAATAATCCCCATCATTAGAACGAAAATCGAAATACAGGAAGGTTTACGTTTACTAACTGTCAATTTACTACTGTAGTCAAAATTGGATGTGGAAATAGGATTAAACAGTACTTAGACCTGTAGGATCAAGTTAGAAAATCATTAAAAGTGTTTACTTAAGGATCAGACTAATTAGTTTTAGAAATGCCACCTGATAGCAATGCATGTCTCTATATGTTATTTATTAAAATAATAAAGATGTTTAAAAGGTGAGGTTGTAACATGTATTTAACTATTTAATGTCATGCAAACTACCAGTACAAATAAACTGTTTATTACTGTAGATGTCACAACGTTTAAAGAAATGGCAGCCATCTTGGACTCTGAGGTTGGGATTTGGGAGAAACATCCATCTTTGCCTCCTAAATGTTTAACTGGGGCCTTCTTTTCTTTATTCATCCACATTATGAGTTATGTATTTTTATTTCAAATAAAAGGACAAAGCCCAAGTGCTGTTATCATTGTTAAAATGCCAGTATGCTGATTGTGGAATCCTTTGAAATTAACAGCAACTTTTCTTTTGAGATAAAATATATTTTTTAGAGCTGCTCTAAGGGCAGTCTCTGGAGAAGACTCAAAATAATTTACTGTCCATTCCTTTTACCCTTTATATGCCGTGATATCTGGACATGAACTGAAGGTGATGGGGTAAGGAGGAGGTCTTAGCTTTCTTTTAGAATTTCTTTTCCCCATCTCACATATGCAGAAAAAAATGGTGTGATGGTTGAACCAGCTTAAAACTTTCCACAGAAATAAATAACAGGTAGAAGTCTCTCCTGCAGTTCAAGAACAGGTTGCTCCCCTCTCAATTCAGTCATTGTCAGAGACAGCATTCAAAGTTTCTACCTAACTTACTGGATTTAAAAAAAAATTTTCTCTGTTGAGTGACTTCTCAGTGCAGAGACAGAAAGTGTCAACAGGGGACATAAAAATGCATCTTTCACCTCTGGTGCTGTAAAGTCTAGAAAAGTTGCAAACATTACAATTTAATGTATCAAATATGCTAAAAGTAATAAAAAGTTGATAGATGACCAGACAGTATTTGGAGAACTTCATGTGGAGATATAAAGGATAAACAGTGTTATTCTGTATGTTTAATTACAAACTATATTGTTTCAATTAATTATAAGAGTTGCAGGAATTAATCTCACTCCTGTCTTTGTCTACAGTTCCCTAAAAAAAGGATAGAATTCCTAAAAAAAGCTTAATTATTCCATAATTAATGTTTTCTTTTGTTCTGGTTTTGCACAAAAGTTTTGGTATTCAGCTGGAGGCCCTTGAGCTTCACTCATTGTGCCAACAGAGTCATAAAACACATTAACTGAACAGAAAACTAGAGAACAGCAACTACTTTCAGACGTAGCCCTGATTTATTGGATATAAAGCACAGTTTTAGATTAACAGAATAAAACAGCACTCACCGAGTTAGATGGCATGCCAAGGTTGGTCTCGATGTAGGTCTCGGTTTTGGGCTCCACCGCCTCCTCGGCCTCGAGGATCTTCTCTACGGGCATGTCCTCGTTCGCGCAGCTGGTGGACTCCACCTCGTTCTCGTTCTTGTCCTTGGCACGCTGGCGCTCCTCCTGGACGGCTGCATGTAACAAAACTGATTCCGTTCACTACTGCTGTTAACTGCTGATGTCAGCACATATTTAAACATGCTCTCAGGCAATGTAGGGTAAGGAAAGACTGCTCTTCTTTAATGGCACAGCTAGGGATTACTTTACACCCTCAGCTATCGTAAGAATCCTCAAATGCTGCTTTTAGCAGAACCTTTGCTAGTTAAAGGACTCCATTAACAAATATGATATAATTCACTGTTACATGCAAAACCTAAGTTAGTATTTTTATATTTTTTTTTGTCAAGTTCGGCCAAAATACTTTTTTTCACTGAATATTAAGGAGACCTACATAAAAAAAATCAACACAGCCGCACAGAAAGGTTCAGGGACTCTTTCCAGCTTCAACTTCAAAGAAACAGGTTTGCTTCTGTTTTGTTCAATGGCAAATATCTATATCCTTTCATATAAAAATGTTTCCTTCACATATAAATAATGTAAGGCCTTTCACTTCTCCCTCACACCACAAACGCAGCCTTGGAACAGTATTCGTATAGATTAAATCATTAATGCATTTTTTTTGGATTGTATGAACAGGACAACACAAACCTTTGAAGTTTTTCAGATGGAAAACAAATCTAACAAGTGTGGTGTGCATTTATTTCAAAACTCCTGTATCTGTACCTGGAAGTGTGATGCAGTTCAGCTAGTTGGTTTTATATGTAACCTATATAGGGATTTCAGTCCATCTAGGTGTGATTTAACTTCTGTAAAATGCAGCTTTGCTTTAAAGGTAAGAGATGTTTTCAAGATGCATTCAGAACGAACGCAGTGACTGCGGCAAGGGCAATGGTCTTAATTTCATAAAATAATATCCCTATGCAAGCCACTTGGTAAAGGGCGGTAAAGCAGTCAGCGGTGAATCCCATGTGATTAGAGGGGTCACTGTTCCTGTCTGCTTCTACCTGATAGAACTGAGATGTTGTCAAACATCAGCACCACATGGAGAGAGCAGAGCGGTGATTGCTAAAATTAAAACGAGCTGAAATTTCCTGTGAAATCGTGTCGCGGCTACTAATCAGGGACTAGTTGCAGTTGTGAGGTAGGTTAAAGAAATGCAGCCGAGGAGAAGCTTTTTTTCAGTCAAAATGAAACACAGAGGAAATAATGATAACAAAGGATGAAATAAGGAATCCTCTGAGGAGGTTTTTAGGTGGCTTTTAAAAAAGCTGTTTTAATTTAGCCTTAGACTGTTTGTCAAACTTCCTTCCCTCCAGCTCAGACATCCGTCTGTTGCCGCATCCCCCCAGCAATGTTGCTCTTTGCACAGGTTCTACAAGGAGGTACCGCTGAATCAGACTGTCATCCAGACCCACCTCTGGATTAACCAAAGTGGACTCTTTTTTTTTAAGTGCTTCTGGGGTTTTTCCAATAATAAATGGTCTCCCCAAAGTGATTTATAAGATGTGCATTGAAAACAGTTCGCAGCAGTCTGTACTGCTACGTTTCACCTGTGCTTTTATTGTGAAATGCCAATATTGAGACCTTGACAGGAAATCCTATGGGGGTAAGACGGGAAACAGCACAAACTACAAAATACAAAATTTCAGCAACAGCTGAAATTAAAAATGATTCTGTATTAAAAATAAAATTAGCACAAATGACAGTTTTACCTGCACAAATGAAGTAGCACTGAAAAAGTAGATGATTTTTATTCAATTCTGAGCTTAATGGGGGATAGTTGAGCTGTTGATTACCTAAAAAATATCTCTAAAAGAAAAGTAGTTTTTATTTTTTCATTTTTACAAATTCCAACTACACAAACCTGCACTAATGAAGCACTAACCTAAATAAATAAATAAATAAAAATAATAGCAATAACCATTCAGTCCATTTGCGGGTGTCAGCTTCATGGCTGAAGCTCCTCCTTTTTAATGACGCAGTCTGGGGTGTGAAAACTGTGCACCTGAAACGCAGAGCGGTGAACTCCCTGCTGGAGTAACGGAAATCACTGCAGACAATACGTTCGATCTGAATGCACTTTTGCAGAAAACTACTTAAACAGGAGAATGAAGGCAGAGAAACACAGCAGACAAGTCAGGCAAAAGATGTGGAGAAGTTTAAAGAAGTGCAAACCTACCAAAATATGGCCATCTACTGAAACTGACAGATGAAGGAAGGAGAGCATTATTATGATTGTTAGATATACAAAAGCAGATGGTGACTTTAGAGGAGCTGCAAAGGTCCTCTGATTTTATCACCAAGTGATACAATCTCCCGACAAGACAACTATTCGTCAACATTCGACCTTAAAAATCTTTCATTGCAAAGTATAGTTTAGCTTCAACGACACAGCAAACCGCATATGTGTGTGTCTGTCTCATAGAATAATGCTAAAAGGTTGAAGCCTGTCATCATATTCAACAACTTCTGAACATTTTTAGGAATATAAATACTTCTGTCAGGCTCCGTACGTCCTTTCCCTTTCCCCTCACCACAAATTCAGGGAAAATCATCTGAATAAAGCAATAAAAAGCTGCAGCAGAAGTCAATAAGGACTTTGTCATGCATTAAAGAAAGATATAAACACAACTGTGTTGATTCTGTCATCTGATTGACTTGGAGACAGGAAATGATTGTTGCTGGGCAGACAGAGAGACTCATAGCTGAGGCAGGAGAAACCACATGTCCAGCCTCAAGTGAAAAAAGCAGCGCGAGTATGTTTTTGTCTTTTCAAAAGGCTGTAATTTATTTCATTCACGGCACCGCAGTTAAATGTTTCAGCGTATTGTGGGTTTTTCTCCCAACCGCAGATTAATAGAGTTTGAAAAAAAAAAAGTTATATAAAAGGGAGATTTTAGAGAGCTAAAACTAACATGCAGGTCTATACACACCCTTAACACACACATTACACACTCAGTGTTCAAGAGGCCCTGTCTTCTTAAGTTTTCCTGCTCTGGTTTCCATTTCACGTCCTGAACTGGAGAGGCCTTGGTCTTGTTGTAAGGGAAAGGAAAGCAGAGGTTGTCAGTGGAGAAAGAGAGAGGGGCCCCAGTTTTGGAGGAACGGCTGTCTGGCAGTGGAGGTCAGCCCAAGGGTAGAATACTTGTGTCGGAGTCACAGAGAGGTGAGGAGGGCTGAAATCATGTTAGCTTTATTCTTCCCTCACCCCCCCTCCTTCTTCTTCTGCTCTCCTGTCCTGACTGGGAGTGCATAAATTCATTTAATCCTGTTTTTCTGTGGATTCGCTTAGCCGTTTGGGCTACTGCTGCTGCCTTGTTCTCTAACCACAGCCCTCGGGGTGCTGAGGGGGGGACTGAGGCAACACGGGGAGTGAGGCAAGAGGTAGTAAATGATAATATCCCTGAAAGGAGTATGGAGGCCAACAATGACATAAACAAAAGCATTCAGGAGGGGACAGGAGGCCAAGATGGGGTCAGGAAAAAGTGAGAGAAATCTAAAATACTATTGCTTAGGCTCAAAGAGCTCAAAAAAGAGCTCCATGGATGCAGCAAAACTATCACTTTTTATTTAAAGTCAGAGTATAAAACTAATAATTCATTTTTGCATTCAATCCATAAGATGTCCTGGTTGTAGTAGGGGCATTCAGATCAATTTGGTGCAAATTATTAACTGCCAAAACACTATGTAATCAGTGTATGTCGATCTAAGTCTGTTGTTGCCTGATTGTCTCTAGATCATACTTTGTAGCCTACAGAGGAGTTAAGTGTCTCTAGCCTGTTTCTTTACACTGTGCAAGCACAAGGCAGCAAATCCTAAACAAATATGCCTGCCTTGTGGAACTTTTACACAGTTTGACTTGAAACCATCAAGCTAGATAAGCAGCCTTTCTCAGGATGTGGAAGTTCCGCTAACTAGTTTCAGACTCTGAGCCCTGCTACGTGCTACTGGGATGTAAACATTTCACAGACGTACAGCTATGCCTGCATGACACCAGTGTGCTGTCAAATCAGACGTCTCCTTCAAGAGGGTGGCTAACCCTCTGCAAGTTTCAAGAATGATTTGGAGCTTGGCCGTCAGTCCGGGATATGGATGCTGAGTTTAAAAGCTCACTGGATTAATCCAGACTTTCAGTTGAAACAAAAACTAAAGAAAAACAGTTTTACGTGCCCTGGGTTTCTTTGGCTTCCTTACTGCCATAGCTTTAGCGGCTGCTTTTGAGAAAAGGTTTCAAAAATGGGTTATTCCCAAAAGACAAGGAGCACATGATGCTGAGGTAAAATGCCAGAAACATGGAGGAAAAAAAAGGTATGACAGATGTAGGGTTATCAGGTTTGGGATTTATGACTTAAACCCTGCCGTTGGCATTGCTGTTCCAAGTACCGTAGTACAAGTGACACGTAAAGACAGCAAAGGAAACATTGCTGGAAGCCGTCACCCAATGATCTGCTGACACTGGTGAAGAGCCACTCAATAGTTTGGCAAATTTGAGGACTTCGTCATTCAATATGACAAAAGAAATTAAGTTTTCTTGGTAGCTTGCTTAAAGCAGTAAGTTTCATTTGAAAAGAAACCTGTCCCGTTTTAGGAACAGATTTTATCCTGAGGAACTCTTGGTCTGACGACAGAAGCCGCCACGAGGGAACCCAACGAGGAAGAGCCTCGGCCAGGGTCCCTGTCTTCAATGTCTGACAGCAGGCCCAGGCCGACAATGCACAAACCATCTAAGATGGAAATCTATTACATATAGTGGAGCCCCCCATCCTTTGGGATGCATCGGCACTGGAATACTGGAAACTAATAAGGTTGTACTAGTAGCAAACAGGCCATATGAAGCAACAGATCCATTGTATCATTTCATTAAAACATTTAAGCAGTGAGTTGTATTTTCTTTGACATGCACAGCAGTTTGCTATAAATAATTTGGATTTAGTAACTTATGATAGTTAATTGGAATGTAACCTCTATTTGACTTGTAATGTTTCCTTTTTATTGCTGTTAGGCAATATTGTGAGATGTAGTCGACTTTCTGCATAATTTAGCCTGTTAAAAGCCTTAATGTTTTCAGTCTGTTAGAGATTCTACTACTGATAGCAAGTTTTTCCAGTTGTCCTATTAACTGAATAGTTTCTGCATTATGCAGTATTGTATTTTTTGTCTAAAAATTAAAGTGATTGTAATGTTCCTTTTCTCCAGATCCTGTAGCCAGCAGCACATTTGACTCGGTATCGGTGGTCGGCAGCATAATTGAAGCTTCCCTGGTTTGCAGTTTTCCACAAGCAATGTTAAGCATGTATGAAGATGCAAAAGAAAGTGCTTTGTTAGACTGAGAAAGATAACAAACCTTTAGGGTTACATGCAAAACACCATCCCAGCCAACATGTGTATGTAGTCCTGAAAACATCATTCATAAAATAAAAGGTAGTAATAGTGTATAATACTGCGGGGATGCTTTCCTTCATCTAGGACACTGAAGCTGGTCAGAGTTTATGGAAAAGAGGCTGGAGTTAAATAGAGGGCAATCATGGAAGATTAGAGAGTTAATAAGACTTACTATTGTGAGAGAGGTTCACATGCTAGCAGGACAAAGGCTCAAAACACAGTCTGAGTTAAAAGAGATTGTTTGGATCATGGTTTAAAATCACACCATTCAATATAACTTAATTTAGTAAACTAAAGGGGACTGTACAAGAATCCCATTCTATGCCCACCTAATACCCATCCAGCCTTTGCATAGCCTTTATAAGGCATGAAAACATTCTTCACAGTATGTCTCTACAAGCAATGCTTAAGCTCAGTCAGACTGGAAGGAAATATATTGTAAACCTAAATATTAAATATTTTCAAAGATTCTCAGTAAGTTTCAATTCTCGAATTAAACGTAAATACGGAAATAACATGGGGGCTAATAAAGAACCTGCTAACAGCTGCATCTTGGGCTCTTTGTTCAGCAGAATTGTTACCCTAATGGGCTCAATATGTAAAGGCTGGCAGCTGCGAATCTGCAGCAAAGAGTTGCTAATTACATAACCTATTTGGAATGTGTTTTTTTAATTTTATTTTGAAAACCATGTCTTACTTTTTCACTTTACAATCATTACATTGTTTGAATCCATAACATAAAATCACAATAAACTTTTGTGAGGCTTGTGGTTTTAAGATGGCATAATGTGGGATATTCTAAGGGGTGTGAATACATTAGCAAGACACTATAATCTATGCACATGCATTTAAAAACCTCTTTACCATACTGCAGAAACAGACTGATTGATTTGTTCAATGTGTGAAGGAGAGCTTAACAGCACTGCCCAGAGCACAAATATTTTTAACACCTTCGTGGAGTCTTAAAATTCACACCTTGCTGCCTGCTTTTCTTTCCTACACATAACAAATCTTTTCTGTTTCCACAGAACACTGTGTCTCATTCTCTTGCCGCTCCAGAAACTATAATCTGATCGACCGCATTAAGCTTTAATCAAGGTTGTTTATAAAGTAAGAAGTATAGAGAAAAACATCATCAAACTGCAGTCAGTCTTAGCTGTGGAAAAGATGTGACAGCGTCGTGCAAAAATCACCGTAGCAACAAGTTTTTTTGCATGTGCAAGGTCTCATTCAAGGAGAAATGTTTGTAGTTTTACTTTGATTTGCTTCTCTGGCTCTGGTATTAAGATGTATCCATGGTCAAAATTATGTTTATTTAAAACTAATGGATTTATTGTGGAGGAGAAAGAAAACTTTGCTAATTATACAAACTAAACCTTTGCATCGGTGTGTTTTTAGACTCGCAGCTACTGAACAACGCAGCTAAAGAAACTTGAGAATCAAGTGACAGTATTTATTAACCCACACTTGAGTTTATGAGTTTGGAAGTAGATATAATTTGCACGGAGGCCAATTAAAGAGGCCAAGTGCTAAATCGTGTTCATAATATTGAAACACAGAACCCGCAGAGAAAACTTTAAACAGAAGAGCTCTTTAAAGATGAGAAGCGGGGTTTGGCTGAAAAACTAAAGTTGTTATTGCTGTTTAAAATAGAAAAACAGAATCTGAATTAATAAGGAGCAACACCAAAAGGTTTGTTCAACAAGGAGCTGAAGCAAACAACAACCCTTAATGTCTATAGATAGGCTGATGCTGATGCTAAATGGTAATTTGCATATTTAATTTTAACTGTAACTGCATTTAATTAACATGAACACGAAAACAAAAGATGGATAATTAGTCAAATAACCTTAAAATATGTAGATGACATATTTAGCCTTTTCATCTGGATGACTAAATACATCTTTCTAAAAGAAGTGGAAAGCCCCACATGCTGGGAAAATCTTCATTCCACTGAACTGTTCCAGAATATAATTCATGTATTGTTGCTGTATAAGTTTCCAGTACATCTTAGGATGAATCCAGCTTTAACTCAAATACCTCTAATGAAGTAGAAAAACATCCTTTATGTTAGGAACTAATAGTTGTATAAAAATCCCCCGGGGTTATTTTTTTTATTGCTACTTTATTTGCTTCAGCAAGGTTTGCTTGGTTACTTGGAACTGTGTGTTATTGTCCAAAGGTTCCCGTTTCTTTAGGGTATAAATATGGTGTAACACATAGTAGCCTTTTACTACTAAGCTTTGCTGTCACTACCCGATCCGTCCCAGAAACACGTGCACATACGTCAACAGATATACATCCGGGTGTCCATAAATAATGTAATTATGGTACTAAAATTAATTATTTCTATCCTTAACTCACTAAAGAATGCTAATACACATCTTTAAAAAATTTTTAATGACTTTTGTGAGACAATTTTGATGCTTTTTACATTTTATTCATTAAACTGCTTCTCTGATGTCATCATCGGACATGCTTAGAGCAGTCCGGCAAAATATGATTAAACCATCTCTACCTGAATTTCAATCGATTCTTTCTTTAGATTACGCACTATATAGCATAAGGTTAAAATGAAAGGAAAACATAAAACTCAAAAAGACTAGATTTATGTTTAAATTCAAGCCGAAAAAGTTAGCTCCCGGAAGTAGCGTAGGATCCTATTTCTGGTTCAGATCGGGCAGAGATGAGTGATAAAACAGAAAGGATTTCAAGGCATTTATTTTCTCAGAAATACATTATTAACCTTTAACACATTATAGTTTAGTACGCTTACTATTTTTGGGGAGAGGAAAAAATATCATTTAGGTCTTTTTAACAAAATAAAAACAAGGGCGACCAGGATGTATATCTGGATGCACAAATGAGCTCATGGCGCAGACGCAGAACGGATCGTGCTTTCGGGATGGAGCTGATAACCGATCTGGCAACCAAGCTGGAAGAGGAACCATATTTTTTTTAGCAAACTAACAAAGAAAGTTAGTTTAGTTTAATCTCTTTTCTAGAGACTGAACAAATCGTAACTCCTTAGTGTCACCCGAAAATCTTAAAAAAAACTAAATCTATTGTATATGTTTACAAAAACAAAGCAAAAGGTGGATTTTGCAAAATGTTTTTACCTGGAAAAGCATCTTATGCCTACTGTTATGCACAGTGGGGGTTCTGTGATGCTTTGGACCTATTTTGTTTTCGATAGTCCCTAAAACCTTAGCAGAAGTAAAAGGTCATAGCTATAGCTTTTGTCACTGAAACAGTTCAAAATAATGCAACATTATCTCATACATTGAGAGTAAAGTATAATTACTGGGAAAATGTAACATTTTTGTTTTGTTTTCTAGCCTCATTGATGCTTCTTAAGACCCTTTACTTTTCATTCCAGTGGACATGTACAGGTTTGAGGGTTTATGTTTAAGTGGGACTCTATCCTCAACGGTATGTGCTGTACCTTCTCTCTTCATGCCCATGGCCAAGCACTTCTGGTAGCGACAGTACTGACAGCGGTTCCTCTGTCGTTTATCGATGAAACAGTCCTTGTTGTCACGGCAGGTGTAGGTCAAATCTTTGCGCACAGTCCTCTTGAAGAAACCTTTGCAGCCTTCACAACTGTAGACTCCATAGTGTTTTCCTGGGGATAGAGGAAGGTAGATGATGCTTACTTTGGGTTTAACAGAACATTTCTTGGATAATATTCATAAGGAAATATGGAAATAATTGGTTAAACATGAGTATTTATAAAATGGATTGTCACTTTGATGGATTTTAACAGATATGATCAATAGGTTCAAGCTGTGCTTTAAATATCATATCATTTATTACTATATTAACTACACAAAGCAGGATAGCAAAAAGATAAATAAATTATTATCCAAATGTTTAATTTTGTAAAACCCCATCCATCGTGATTTGGTTGTTTTTATAAATAAAACAATCTTGAAACTTAAAAAAAATTTACATTCCCCACATAACCTTAGCTTTTAGTGCATCTTATTATTGTTATTTTATGTCTTAAACCAACAGGAAAGAAATTTAACTGTAAAGGAAAACTATTTATTGCATTAGAAGGTTTTCTGATCTTTGTCGCTTTACTTTATTTTGAAAACTTGAACAGATTTCCAGTGTAGCTCCATGGCTAGAGAATTCACTGCACCAAACTATAATTAAAGCCCCCTGTGTTGTAGGGATGCTTTTTTCAGCAGCTATATAGAACAGTTTAGATTAAAGTCTAACGATGTTAAAGTGACCTCAACCTAATCAGTAATCCATCACAGAATTTGACAACTGTTACTCACAGATGCTCTCCATCCAGTCTGACTGAACTTTGGCTTTTCTGATAAGAAAAACCATCAAAGTATTCATCACTAGATGTAAACTGCTACTAGAGACCTAGCCCAAAATAATTACAGCTGTTGCATAAAGGGACTAAATGCATATACATTTAACACATTGCACCATATGGATATTACATCTGTTTTGCACATTTGGCAAAAACATCTGTCTTGCTGCTCTCTAAATCTGCACATTTATGTGACAGAGGGTTTTGAATAAATAATTAAAAGGAACTGCTGCACTCAAGCGGTGCTCAAAAAATGCAAAAACATTCAGCGAACCCCAACCAACTTATTAGAGCTATGTATAGTTGGGATTACATACAGTACAAAGTAAATAAATAAAGAGCTAATTTGTAGTGATGTGAGCGGCATAGGGGAACTGTAGTTTGGCAATACAGTACTTTATTGTTCTATCAAAGTTAAGAAACTCTAAGTTCTTAGTTTATATTAGGGTTGTGAAAGGAAACAACAACTCACTGAAGACCACTTCTACCAGGTCCCTGTTCTCATGTCTGCACCTTTCTCTCACTTCTTTTGTGATTTTATGATGGATGGAGCCCATTTGCCATCCTCAGTGTTGTTCAAACTGTTTCTTTGTTCAATCTCTGCAGCTCAGACCACCAGAGAAGATAAATAAAGCCTTTGAGCAAAGCCAAATGAAGCATGACTTGCTATTTAACACTGTTTTGATTCCCCCCTCCCCAATTAGCTGCAAGCAAACGCCAATGATGCGGGATGACAGCAAAATTCACCTAAACATTGAGGTTAAAAGTTTTTCAAGTCATCCATAGAGAAAAGAAATCTGTTTGTTTACAGTTGAAAAAAGGAAAAACTCCAGGAAGTTATTTTCTTTGGCGTACAATAATTAATTCTTAGATATTCCTCTGGTTGAAGCGGCTGAGTTAATTCCCCCCCATGATTATCATCACTTTGGATGGAAGACGTTTTATCCGAGATTTAAATAACTGCCCAACAAACAACCTTTGAGCATTTAAATTTTCAAATTTAACTCACAGAGCTCGCTATGATTTGAAAAGTTAAATCTGAGCAGGAATACCAACCCAGTGTGATATTAAAGATGCCACTGACACATCATATGTATAACCGCCTCTTTAATGTTTTACACCTTCAATTTAAAAGCTACATTTAAGCAGAGTTTGTGCGAAAATGATGTCATCAAGTATAAAACGTATAATAGATCAACGTTTATTATATTTTGTATTCAGCTCTGAACAATAATATATTTCTATTTGATCCAATTGGTTTTTATTATGGAAATCTGTTTGCATTTGCCTCCAGCTGCAGCTCTGTTGAATGTCTTGCAGTAATGAGATCGCCGTTGGCCTGTGCATGCTCTCCCGCACACACAGCATTTCTCTATTTCAGCAGAAGCTTAGTCGAAGTTTGGTTTCCTCTAACTATATGATCTTTTGACTCATGATTTATGTCTTTTCTTAAGCACCTTTAATGCTGCAGCCTTCATGTGCTTTAACCCAAGTCTGGTGTAACTCTGGCTTCTCTACTGCATAGTCAAGATTTCTGAAGAATTACACTGACTGATGTCCTTCCAGCAGGAGTCCCAATGCAAGAAGCGGCAGTGTGTAGTTCTGCCAGAGTGGTCAGTTGGGTTGCTCTCTTCCAAAGATCGTGTTTAGATCTCCTTAGGAGGTTTTTTTCAGTGTGGCTCCAGAAGGATTAAGCAAGATTTGGGGTAGTCTGACTTTCTTTTAATTAGGTAATAATGAGATATGGTGTCATCCAGGCTGTTTACAGATTGCTCAGACTTTTCTTGTTATCAACAGCATACAATGATATAATTGGTGCATAACCTTAATGTTAGGGTCATTTTTTTTCTTTTAAATTGAATATGATCCAAAGCTAAAAACACAGTTCTGTTTCTTGCAAAGTTTTGACACAACATTGGACCAATTAATGTTTTTCTGGCACATGTGTTATATTATTAGGATGTTATGGTCTTAATAATAATGCTGACTTGAAAAGGGTCCAGCAATCAGTCACCCACTCCCTACACATGGAGTGAAAGCCACCAAAGGTTGTTGCTAAAGAGAACTGTTATCAGTGAACTTTGTCGAGGCATAACATTTATAAAGATAAAAGGAAAAAAATGCAGTAGCAAAAAAGTCTTTAGGCAAATAAATTGGCTGCAGTTCCTGCAATCTTTTTAACCCACTCCTGAACAGAAGACCATTGATCTGTTTCCATCTAATTTAAGCAAACGTTTAAAATATTGCAATAAAGAAAAACGAGAATTAGGCATTTTTTCCATCAACTGGTATATAGCAAATTGACCAGGCTACACAAAACATCATGTTTTCAGAAGTTGATGTAACATATTGCTATAATAAACAGGAAGTACTGGCTATAATTAGCATGGAGCACTTGAAGACCAGGGAGACGTTTTCAGCAATTTGTTGCTATCAGGCAAGTTCTTATTGTTCTGTGATATCAGCATTTACTAAGAGGCAAGCAGCAATGACATGCTCCAAACATGGGAAAACAGCAAATCACTCATTGAAGGTAAATTTCTGCTACGTCAGCACCTTTATGCCGAATGCATTTCCATCTCTCATTTCACATTTTATGGCAAACAGAGCTGTTCCCGGGAAAAACAGAGCTAATTTTGGCCAACCAGATCATGCTTTCAATGTGACAGCCTAGTTGTTCTCTGGTCATCGTATTTAGCCTAACAATATTATTATAAAGCAAATTTAAAAAGATATAATTTGATCCAAGCTTCAAATCAAGTTTTTCTTTCTTTTTTTTTTTTTTTTTTTTTTAGAAGTCACTTTTTTATAGAGAAAAGTAAGAATTTTTTTGTAAAAAAAGAAGTTTTTTTTGTCTAAGAACTTTTTCTGACGACACTTAAAAATGTGCATTAAAAAAATTCAGTCTTTGAGATCAATGGTTATTTTTTGTTAGATCAAAATATTTAATTCTAAATAAAAGCTCCAGAGTGTGTTGTACTAAACCAAGCAAAGTGAGCTGATTGCTCACTTTGCTTGGTTTAGTACATTTGCTAAAATCGATTAACTGTATAATTAATACACTGTATATGATGGTGACAGCAGTGTTTCAAAGAAAATGTTTTTTATTCAAACCAATTCTTGACAAAGTCCTAGATCTGTATGTCATGTGGTTCTTAAAGCACGAACCCAAGTGTCTAGTAAATCTAAACTTTTAAGTGTAAGTTGCAAATATGTTTCTTTTACAATTTTTTCTGTAACACTTTTCCTTCCACACAATTTTCCAATTGTATATTTTCCACCAACATTCTTTGCCATTTGAATTACCTTCCAACACTTCAACAGACTTTTCTTTTACCTTCTCAAGGTTTCAGTTATGGCTGTTGCCTGAGGAAGTTTCCACTCGATTGTTTCCTTCCACTCAATTTCCGGATTAACATGCATGGATAACAACATCACTTCCAATGATTTACTAAACTAAAAAAAATTAACTTTTAATAACATTCTCATTTATTAAACTGCAGTTGAATTCTATTGACAGCTGTTTTGATGTCACTCACCTGAGGAGCGGTCTCCACAGATGGCGCAGATGTGTTTAGTCAGGGACAGGGCCGTGCCTGAGGGCTGAGCGGGCACCTTCATCACGCCATTGAGTCCCAGCGGAGGTTTAATATCCTCCGTGCTGCTAACCGAGTTCATTGGAGAGTTTAGCTGAAACATCAACACACACAAAGACACACCGAAAGGTCAAAAAAGCAGCACCTCTGAACACAAAACCAGATACATTATTCTCCTTGCTGCACTAGAATCGTACAGAGATAAATGATGCAATGGAGAACACATTACACAAAACAGACATGTCGAGTTTGAACAAATTGACTACACTTCAGAAGAATAAAAGAAACTACATAATCTGAATTTTCAACAGTCCCAGTTGGCCTTTTTTTAATGGTCTTGTGGTCTATTTCCTCCCTCCTGTCCCTCCCCTGTTTAAAATCTAAATCTGGCGCAGCAGGATGCAGCACCACTCAAACCCAGAAACTCTTTTATTCATGCCCCAAACCAGGCCCGCTGGCTCCGAAATGTTCGGTACTAGCACAGCTACGCTGCAAAATTTAACAGCACAGCAGAGTAAAGAGGCAGGACTTGTTGCCATAGCAGAGCAAAGTGTAGCTTTTAAATACAACTTCAGCTGCTGCCTGATACTTTCTGTTTAAAAAAGGCTTTGATAAAATACATCCTGATGAGGCCTTCTTTTAAAAGTGAAAGGCCAGAGGAGGCAAATTATTGAACTGCCTAAATGATGCTCCCAGAAAGGATAAATATGGATCAGACACATCATAACTTTCAAAATGACCAAATGCAACACATTAAATGGTTACAAACTAGTCAATATAACTACCTTATTACAAAATAACAACTGTATAATACAAACTGACACAACAGCCACACACTTTGGGTGTAGGACAGAATCTTAATCACTAGATGATACTCAAGACAAAAGAAACATTATTTCATGAAATAACTGTTAGGCCTTGTTAAAAGTCATCTGACTGAAAATGTTAGCTACGTTAAGGAAGAAATTAGCTCTCTTGGATATACAATAGAAAAACCTCACATTCCTTGCATAAAATAAGGATGTTGAAGCTTTACTTACTGTATTAGTCAGTACTTTCCCTGGAAATGTCACATTTAAAGCTAGATTTGATAGTGTACAATAAATTCAAAGACTTTTCCAAAAACTTTTCATTTACTTTTTTTTTTTATTTGTGCAAGATTATTGTTGATAATTGTCAATGTAGGGGTCAGTCTCAGACAATTGCAAGCCTAGATAAATTAATCAATTTAAGACTAAAAAACAATTCTACTCCAATAACTCATCAATACAAATGATGTTTAAAATGATGTAATAATGTAAGGGAAAAATTTTATAATTGTGTGCACGTTCTGGTATATTAAAGACTATAATAAAACAATGAAAATAAAGAAATATCCAAACTGAAGGTAGCAATTCCAGACAGAACAAAGAGTTTTCCAAAGAGATTTTCATTTTAACATAAAACTGTCAAATGTCAGGGTAGGTTTAGGTAAGCCTGCGTACAAAAAAGGGAACAATCATTTTTAATCAAAAATTAACTGTTGTTTTTTAACAAGCCTGTCTGTTATTCAGTGAAGTTAATAATGATTGATGGAGTAGCCAAACATTTTACTCAAGTAAAAGTAGTGGTATTTTACTAAGATATTACTCAAGTAGAAGTAAAAAGTATGGTGCAGTAAAACTGCTCCTTAAAAGCAAATTTTTCTCAAAAAATGACTTAAATTACTGTAACTTAGTAAAATTAATGATGCACTAAACATTGTAGGTGTACAGCTTAAGCTTGATTTGTATGTTTACTGCAATAAAATGTTTATCTAATTTCAGGAAGTAAAATCTAATCATTCCGCCCCCTTAAAAAATTCATTTTAGGAGTTGCAGATATTTCCGCTTTACAGGTGTCTCTTTTTTGTGCTAATGTATGTATCTGCATAATGCAACTAAGCATTTTTCATTAGACCTTTCAGCTACAGGTTAAAAAAAAACTCCCTTAGAGTTCTACAGAACTTCATATTGGTGTTCTCACAGGGGTACATGAGCTGCTGTAGCTCCAGGCTGGTTTTTTCATATTTTCTAAACTCTAACAGTGCAGAATTTCAAGTCCTGATTAACGGCATCAGTATGTAAAAAAAAGAAAACACAACTTATATATTTCTGCTTGGAGCTACTGCATGCTGCACCTCCATTGACAGAAATACTCCTAACAAGAAGCTTCTCCATCACCTGACACAGAAAATTCAAAATGTTATTTTTCTTCCATATTTCCATGTGGCTGTATGTAATTCACCGTGACATTTGGAGAGTCACAGGAACTCTGGGAATATGAGTAGAATTTCAGAATGAAAGGATTTGGGTGGGTTTGAAATACCTGCAGCATCTTGACTGACGAATCCATAAAAAAAGCAGATTTTACTCTAACAAGCTGTATAATCAGCGCCTGGTTTGCTCTTCATGGATTTTTTTTTTCCACAGTCGTACAGAGAATTTTAAACAAAATCAGATTATTAGAGTTCAAGAGCTCAAGACTTTTATATGGAAGTAAATGATTTACTCAATGGAGAGTAAAGATATTTCACCGTTTCAATTATAGAAATGAACATTTTCATATTTTACAGTCAAAAAACTAACATCAAATCTATTGAAAATTAAAAAAAAATGTCAGAAATTTGTATTTTCAATTGGTATAACAGAAACATGAGGAAGATTGTTAGTAAACCTTGTTTAACAGACAACATCCACAAGGATAATAAGAGATGTAAGCAGTAATTAGATATTGGAAAATCTAGTGAAAGGAAAAAGTTATAGAAAAGGGGGCCACTTTCATGTCAGTTTCTGTTGTTTCTTTAGAGCGTATTAAATTTCCTTAAGTCAGCAAAGCAACATTAAGGTAGAGATAAGGTATCCTGGGCTCCCTTTACATGCTTACAGCTCCTCCAATGCAGCATTTTATGGGAAAGCAGTACAAATAAAGTTCATATAGAAGTGGTTCCCAATCTTGTCCCTCAAGGACAAGCATGTTTTAGGCATCTCTTTATGTCTCAATTGAAATGTGATTAACATGCATTTACAGCTCTGGATGTCATGCAATTAAAATTCTCTGTTCTGGAACAGAGACAGTTTCAGAATGTACGGGGAAGAGGACCAGGGCTGGGAACCACTGCTGTAGAGTACACTGAGATACAGTTAATTAGACCAACATTTTAGTAAAAATTATTTTTTATTCCTCAAGGCTAACCTTCTTAAGAAAAAAATAACAGCAACAAACTCTTTGATTTGTGTGTTTATTATAAAAAAATTAGAAGGTTCACCTTTAAGGTTAATTTACTAAAGTAGAAGACTTTTAGGGTTATGTTTCATAATTCTGAAAATGCATATTAAAATATATAAATATTCTTTAGTTGAGAGAACCAAAGAAAATGAAAAAAAAAAAAAGATATCAAATGAGCTAAAAAAGCTGCAAACATCACATGACTGCATGTTCATTCACAGGATCACACACACTCAGTATGAGGTCTTACCTCCCTCAAATGCCTGAGTCTAGTTTTTTTTCCTACCCCCGTAGCGCAGCACTCGCAGAGCTGTCTTCTCAGCTGAGATTGTCTCTAAAAACCCCTCTGTCTGCCTGACAAAAAAGATTCAGCCTTTCACAGTCTATTTTCAGTCAACCTGCAACTCAATCGCAGCAAGATAGAGGCAGCAACCCACGGCGGGGTGGGCAAACCTGAGGGAGGAGGGAGAGGGGGGTCTTTCTTTCTCTTGTGCCCACGGCAATAGAGACAAGGCAAGGGGATTAAAGTAGCTCAGGACTAGTTCTGGAAATAGAATATGTGAGCTCCCCCTTACAGCACACACACACGCATATATGTGACCCCTCATAAGGAGCTATACCAGCTGTGTGTACAACCACACTGCCTTGAGAAACCCCTGATTTGTTTCCCTTCTCTGAACAGGCTGTTAAAGACAAACAAGAGGCCTCAGCCTAAAACTTAATCACAATATAGAAAAGAGGCAATCATCTACAAGAGCTGAAATGTAGGACAAATAATATCCTGAGGAGCAATGCAGAACGTGAGCTTAGCAATGCTTCATGAGCTGCAGGTGTTGTGCAATGTGCTATGAAGGACAACGAACTGGTACACTATCTGCTTATGGGTGTCAGATTCTTCATAGAGCTGTTGGATTAGTTTCTATGTTCTTGTTAAACTTGTTAAATTGAATCCTTCAATAATTCCTTATATACGGTCATTGGAAAGATTGAACTATTAAGTTACTGAAACAGATATAGTATAAAGACAGATGTTGTCCTTTGAGAAAATAGAGGACGAAAATGAAAGGAGAGCCAAACCAGAGAAAAGCACTGGAACAGCACTAGAGAGATTTAAACTCCTGATGCACCACACCTCCCATAGATCTTCACTCGGTTTATTTTTCAAGGGCACCTTGGTTAATAAAAAGGAACTGATCTTCCACATTTCTTTTTAAAACACTATCAGAAAACCTTTCTATGGTTTTCCATAATGCAGGAGGAGCAGCATCTGTAGAAATAGAGCGTTCTAGACCTCACTGCCCTCCTCTGTATCACTCGCTGCAAGCTGCTAATCTTAAGTATGATTCATTTCTTAGCTTTAATTTACTTCTGCCTCGAGGCGTGAAGCTTCAAGATGTTTAAAAATAGAACTTCAAGTGGCAGGAAGTTACCGGCCAGCGTTCAAATCCCTGCTGAAAGAAAGGAGAGGTCTAATTGGCCGACTCTGGAGAGGTGAGGACAGGGATCAGGTCAAGATGTCACCTGGAGATAACCCTCAGTCCCCTTTCACCCCTGACACTTTTGTGGCGATCACTTCCTCCTGAAAGCAAACTGATCCTACAGCTCGGCCGAGCACGGGAGGAGGAACTTTCCTCTGTTCGCTGTGGTTGTTTGTGTGTGAGAATCTTATCCAGACACGCATCAGTAGAGATAGTGGATCAGGTTTCACACAGGGGGGCCTGTTAATGGACCCTGGCTGGTCTCTATGCCTTCAGGGGATGATCGCAGTGAGACAAACTCCAGGCCCCTGGGACGATTTGAATATCAGCCTGAAAGACACCTGTTTGAATGCAAACAGCTCATAAACAAACACAAACA